AGCACGCCACCAGCAGGGACATTCAATGTGATCAGTGGAACCACATCGGGACCCTTGCCGACAGGGACTACCAATGCTTCATCCGCAACTAACAGACCTCCTTCCCTACTGAACGTCGAGCATGTTCCACACACCAGCTGCTTTGCAGTTCTTGCAAGGTGCTTCCCGCATCTATCACGCACTCGACAAACCCGTACATCCGCTTCAGGTTCCCCCTAGGCTTTTTGTCCCTTTCCAACCTTTTCATTGGTGCAGATATTACTTCACGATACTTATGGCATTCGATGATACTCCCGGTAGCTAAACAACTACTACCATACGCACCTGTATTCAGTCGTAAATGATTTTCTCACTTGCATGGATTACTTGTGTTAGCAGAGTAGATAGCTTTGTCCCATGGCGTCCCATCACTCGCATGGTCAACCTAGTGTATTAACAAGGCATCTATAGACTGCTGCATACAAGAAACATGGTGCATTGCACATCCTGATTTCAATATCCCCAGTATAAGCATAAAGTACTTAAAAGTCAAACACTGCGTACGGGAGAGCAGCACGCAGACCACTATGTCGACATACATATGTGTGATAACATCGTGCGCGACGAGGAGACTTTCGCATACCAACCACCGGCTCGCTCTGAAGAGAAGGAATAGCCTGAAGAGACCGACGGGCTACCAAGGTGCGAAAGAAGCGCAGGAAGCCAGCCTAAGCTGACCGTGGTGTCACGAGCAACGAATCAGTCCCGCATATACCAGCTCGCAAAGCCGTACAGAGTGTGCGCATAAGATCAGGCAACGGCAGGCAAATAGCGCGTCATCTATCGATGGCGCACAGACAAGAGTTTGATTGACATTACATTCTCGAGGAGATGACAGACGATCGAAGGAGGAGTTGAGTCTCTCCAGTACCAGGAGGCCCCTGGATCAAATAATGGGCTATTGACTGCTTACATTCGAAAGTGATCGAGCTCTGGAAGACACGGCGCAGGGAAACACTTCAGCATCTGCGTGCGGAGAGCCTGGTGCGCAAGATCATGCCCGAGAAGCTTAGGATACTAGCGAACGGTTTACTTACATAAAATATGTAGAGAAATAGACGTACGATCCAACGAAACAGTCTTCTTGCTGCCTGTACCTGTGCCTTGATTTTCTGGCCAACTTTGTCTCCAAGACCTCTTGTCTGTCAGCTCTACGCCCAGATATCACAGAAACTACTTACAATTCCATTTTCGAAACCCGACGTAGACGTCCAACATTTGTAAGGTCATTTGATGGAATCAGTCACGTGTATCCGAATGATATCTTCGTCGAAATCCGTGAGTTTGTTCTATACAAACCGGCTATGGTTCCCAACGTGAATGCGTTCGAACCTTTACCACTAGCTATTGTTCGCGAGCTTGGGATCCTTAGTGTTGGCCTAATGTGCTTGGTATATGCGTCAGCGCTCATATCCTACACTCGGCCCCTCGTAGCATGATAAGATACGTCGAGCAGGGTACATATAATGACCTGGAGCCTCCTGCGGGAATAGTCCCACGTCTTGTCCGTTTGAGGCCGCCATCAGGAAAATCAGGAGTTCTTAATGTCAACATAATGACTTTCTCTACAGCTGACAGACTGCGAATGTGTACGTACAAGTAAATGAAAGTTCTTAATTGTTCGCCTCGCCTCATCTGATAGATCTGGGTTCAGCCTTCGTGAAGAGTGCTCGCTGCTCCAGGCAGATCTTCCAGCTCCCGCATCAAGGGGTTGGTACCGTTGCCTGACTGTACACGTCACTGCAGCAGATCATGATCACGGCCCTTCTGCGTGCGTCAGATCTACGCCCAAACACCAACGGGGACTACTTGCAATTCCTTTTTCAAACCAGACGTAGACGTCCATGTTTGTACCCCTAGTACTCACGAGTATGAGCCCATTTGAGGGAATCAGTCACATATGTCCGGGTAATATCTTCGTCGCAATCCGGGAGCTTGTGATGTGCGAGGTTAATGTGGACCTCATACCACTAGCTTCTACTTTGTCCCCCCGGAAGGTCCTATGCGATGCCATGTTGAGAATGTCAGATCCAAAGCAAGTCCAGTTTTATGTGGGACGAACCACATATTGGTGGGAGTAATCGATGAGAATACATGTAGCAGTGGTATCCTGTCATGAATGACGCTGTATCGATAGCGGTTTGTGTGCAGAATCTCGCGCGTTTATGGGCCATGTAGAGTTGGGCGTCCAAACAGTGGTGATTGAACTTGCGCATGACATTTATAAGCGGAATCAATAAGCCTTGTCATCGAGCGTACTGGGAGGGCAGTTGCCGAGGTTATGATGGGTCAAACCACGTGGGCTCATTGATTCGTTCCATCCTATGTGGTCACTTAGCAGTACAAGTCACGGACAGTGTCAAAGGAGATCTCGGGTCGAGTGATATGGCAGAGAAATTGTATTAGCCATGACATGCCGAAGCACAGTAAAAGCAACCACGGCACCTACTACAGAAAACTCCTGAAAGAAGCGCTGAAAATGACGCTGACCTGTATACGGCACACCACGTGTGTACAGCAAGGCCGACATGTGGATTTAGTATCCTGTAGCAGATGCAACCTAACTACTCACCATAGCGCAGACAAGTGACTGCTACTCCCTCAACGTTCCTGTTGACCGAGACACCGGACACGAGTCAATGACGGCCACCACGGGCAAAGGATCATCCAAAGCGCCTACTCGAAAGGAACCACCTTATGTCGAAATGACGCTCAAGGGTCATGAAGATGAAGTTCGTGGCATAGCTTTCATCGTTGGGACTCGTCTCCTCGTCACTGGCTCAATCGACAAGAGTCTTCGGGTGTGGGATCTGGACACGGGAAAACAAGTGGGAGAGCCCTTGTTGGTCACGATGCCGAAGTCTGGAGGGTCGCAGCGTCCCCCGATGGACGTTGGATTGTGAGTGGAGGCGAGAACGGAAGCATCCTGGTGTGGGAAGTTGCGACAAACAAGAGAGAACTCAAAAGAGTGCCCGTCTCATTCAAGGGCCATGAGGATCATGTTATGAATGTCGTATTTGCACCGGACAGTGAGACATTTGCAAGTGCATCATCTGACGAAACGGTATGTGTGTGGGAGAGGGAGACGGGAAACATGGTCCTTGGACCACTCAAAGTGGGCAGTAATGCAAACTCGGTGTCGTACTCCTCGGATGGGACAAAACTAGCAGCAGGCACCACCAAACATATCATCATTTGGAATCCAGCAACAGAAAAGAATTACTCAAAATAGAACAGCGGGCATGGCGAGTCGCATTCACTCCAGATGGTCTCCGCCTCATCAGTGGAAACAACAATGACATCCGAATCTCAGATGCTACCACTGGAGACATCATCAAACAGTTTGACGCGCACATCGATAATATCTTTGTCTCGCTAGCCATTGCTCCCAATGGCACTAAATTTGCAACCACGTCGCATGACAAGACGACGCGGTTCTTTGACCTGACCACTTTCGAACCCATCGGCAAGCCACTCGAGCACCCTGATGTCGTCTTGGGTCTGGCTTTTTCCAAGGACAGCCAGCTCATCGCCACCAGCTGTAGGGACAAGCTTGTTCGCACATGGACAGTTTCCTCTGAGCAAGTCAGAGAAAGAGTCTCAACAGGTGAACAAATTCTCTTCTCGTGTCATGCTCAGTATTGACCTGTCATACATTCCACGCAGAAAATTCTTAAAGTACGCTTCCATGCCTGTCGATTTGGACGATCCCTAACTTCAGTCCTGCAGAAAACTATCCCAAGCACACAGCCTCGCCAAGACGCGCTCCAATACAGACCAGTAGGTTCTTCGATGATGTAAGTCCATATGATACAGTGGATTCGATTCACGTCTCATCATCCTTTGATAGTTCGATCCTGGACGCAACAACCGCACTGCTACTACCACGCGCCATGCTGAAGGGTCCAGAATCAAGAACATGATGGCTCGTCTCTTTTCTTCTCGCTCTTCCTCTCCCCAGGACCATGCTCCTCGGCCACGCAGGATTCCCCTTGTGGACGTCTTCGCGACACGAGGCAAATATGTAAGTTTGCCTGAATTTTCGACCTCCATCTCGTGATGGTGACCTTCCCCGCAGCGCACTGCTAATGCCCAGAGTGGAAAACGACATCTGGCGAGGCCGCTACATCCTCCTCGTCGGCAAGCCCAAACTGGTACCTCAAGCAGCACGCCACCAGTAGGGACATCCAATGTGATCAGTGGAACCACATCGGGACCCTTGCAGGCAGGGAGTACCAATGCTTCTGCTGCAACTAACAGACCCCCTTCTCCGCTGGACGTCGACCATGTTCCGCACACCAGCTGCTTTGCAGTTCTCGCAAGGTGCTTCCCGCATCTATCACGCACTCGACAAACTCGTCCATCCGCTTCAGGTTCCCCCTAGGCTTCTTGTCCCTTCCAACCTTTTCATTGGTTACTTATGACATTCGATGATTCTCCCAGTAGCTAAACAACTACTACTTTGCATCTTACGTACCATGCAGTTGTAATGATTTTTTTTCCATTTGCATGGATTACTTGTACCAGCAGATTATATAACATTTAATAGCTTCGCATGACGTCCCATCACTCACATGGCCCACCTAGTGTATTCACAAGGCATCTATAAATTGATGCATACAAAAACATAGTGCATTGCATATCCTGATTTCAACGTCCCCAGCATAAGCATAAAGTACTTAACACCGCGTACGCGGAGAGCAGCACGCAGACCACTACGTAGACATATGGATGTACCGCGACAAGGAGATTATCGCATACCAACCACCGGCTCGCTCTGAAGAGAAGGGATAACCTGAAGACACCGACAGGCAACCAAGATGCGAAAGAAGCGCAGGGGAGCCAGCCTAAGCTGACCGTGGTGTCACGAGCAAACGAACAAATCTTGCATATACCAGCTCCCAAAGCCATGCAGGGTGCGCACATAGGATCGGGGCACGGCGGACAAAATAGCGCGTCATCTAGAACGCAGTCATGCCCGATTGCGTTTCCACATACTGGCTTTTCCTGTCGTCGAGATCCGTCATGCCATCCCAGCTCTTGTATTCATATCCGCTCATGCTGGCCATGTCAGATGCATGACCTACAAACCGGTCTCCTCGGTGCTGGTCGATAGCCATGTTCGACAGACGGGAGTTTGACCGACATTATCTTGGCGAGGTGATCGACGATCGAAGTAGAAGTTGCGGTCTTTCCAGCACCAGGCCACTGGATCAGACTAATGCTAATGGGCTTCTGTAGAACGTTCTTGACTGCATACATTTGAGAGTGGTCGAACTCAGGAAGACATGGCGCAGAGAAGCACTTGGGCATCTGCGTGCGGAGAACCTGGTGCGCAAGATCATGTCCGAGAAGCTCGTGATACTAGCGAGCGGTTTAGTTACTTCAAAAATATATAGAGAAATAGACGTACGATGTAGCAATCACCACTCTTCCTGCTGCATGCACCGTGCGCCTTGATTTTCTGACCAACTTTCGAAGACCTCGTGTCTGTCAGCTCTACGCCCAAATATCACGGAAACCACTTACAATTCCATTTTCGAAACCCGACATAGACGTCCGCATTTATAAGGCCATTCGAGGGAATCAGTCACGTATATCTGAATGATATCTTCGTCGGAATTCGTGAGTTTGTTCTATACAAACCGGATACGGCTCTCAACGTGAAATGCGTTTCGAACCTGACTTGGGGTGTTTAGTGTTTGGCCTAACGTGCTTGATATATGCGTCAGCGCTCACATCCTACACTACCTCGGGCCCCTCACAGCATGATAAGATACGTCGAGCAGTGTACATGTGATGACCTGGAGCTCCTGCGGGAACGTCCCATGTCTTGTCCGTTTGAGGCCGGCATCAGAAAATCTGAAGTTCTTAATGTCAACTTTAAGACTTTCTCTACAGGCTGACATACCATTGCCTGGCTGTATACTTCACAACCATAGCAATCATAATCACGGCCCTTCTGTGTCCGTCAGATCTGCGCCCCGAACACAACGGGGGACCACTTACAATGTCCTTCTTCAAACCAAACATAGACGTCCATGTTCGTACCCCTGGCGCTCACAGAGCATGAGCCCATTCGAGTGAATAGTCACGTATGTCTCGGATAATATCTGCGTCGCAATCCACGAGTTTGGTGAGTGCGATGACAATGCGGAACCTACTTTAGCTTTCCGGAGGTCCTAACGTCAGGATGTGAGATGCGGGGCAAGTCTAGTACTACGTGCCAGGGACGAATCACATACCGGTGGGAGTAATCGATGAGAATGCATGTGACAGTGGTGTCCTATCGTTAATGACGCTGTATCGATGCGGTTTGTGTACAGAATCTTGCATTTATGGACCATGTAGAGTTGCCGCGTCCAAACAGTGGTGGTTGGAACTTCCGCATAAAATCTTATAAGCGGAATCCATAACCCTTGTCATCGAGCGTACTGAGAGGGTGGTTGTCAGACTCTTAGAGACTGAGTGATGCCCACAGGAACAAAAAGTTGGTCTCCCTGAGGTTATGATGGTACTACAGCCAAATCATTGATTCGTTGCATCCATGTGTGGTCATCTACCAGTACAACAGATATCTCGGGTCGACTGTTGTGACAAATAAATTGTATCAAAGCAACCACGGCACCTATTAGCACAGAAAACTCCTGAAAGAAGCGCTGAAAATATCGCTAACCTGTATGCGGGACACCACGTGTGTACAGCAAAGCTGAGATGTGGATTTATTATCGTGTAGGAAATGCAACCTAACGACTACTCACCAAAGCACAGGCTGAGAGGCAAGTGACTGAGACAGAACTAAAAGTTTGGCGTTCCAAAGCACTAACCAATCCGGGCTCGAGGTACGAGCCTCAAAGGCTGTTCAAATGCTCTTTTCTGGATTTGGTTTTTCAGATGCCTAGTATCCGGTAGGAGATGCAACCGAACGACTACTCACCATAGCGCAGACAAGTGACTGCTACTCTCCCTCAACGTTCCTGTTGACCAAGACAACCGAACAAGAGTCAATGACGGCCGCCACGGGCAAAGGATCGTCCAAAGCGCCGACTCGAAAGGAACCACCTTATGTCGAAATGACGCTCAAGGGTCATGAAGATCGTGTTTACGATGTAGCTTTCATCGCTGGGACTCGTCTCCTCGCCACTGGCTCAATCGACAAGAGTCTTCGGGTGTGGGATCTGGATACTGGAAAACAAGTGGGGGAGCCCTTATTGGGTCATGATGACGAAGTCAGGAGGGTCGCAGCGTCCCCCGATGGGCGTTGGATTGTGAGTGGAGGACAGAACGGAAGCATCCTGGTGTGGGAAGTTGCGACAAACAAGAGAGAACTCAAAAGAGTGCCCGTCCCATTCAAGGGCCATGAGAATCATATGGTTTGGGATGTTGTATTTGCACCGGACAGCGAGACATTTGCAAGTGCATCATATGACAAAACGGTATGCGTTTGGAAAGGGAGACAGGAAAATAGTCCTTGGACCACTCAAAGTGGGCGACTGGGCACTCTCGGTGGCGTACTCCTCGGATGGGACAAAACTAGCAGCAGGCACCCAAGAACATATCATCATTTGGAATACAGCAACTGGAAAAGAATTACTTAAAATAGAACAGCGGGCATGGCGAATTGCATTCACTCCAGATGGTGTCCGTCTCGTCAGCGGAGACTGGAAGGACATCCGAATATCAGATGCAGCCACCGGAGACGTCATCAAACAGTTTGACGCGCACACTGATGCCTTTTACTCACTATCCATTGCTCCCAATGGCACCAAATTCGCAACCACTTCATACGACAAGACAACGCGGTTCTTTGATCTGATCACTTTGGAACCCATCGGCGAGCCACTCGAGCACCCTGATGCCGTCTATAGTGTGGCCTTTTCCAAGGACAGCCAGCTCATCGCCACAGGCTGTGTGGACAACCTCGTTCGCACATGGACAGTTCCTCTGACCGAATCAGAAAAGGAGTCCGAACATGAGCAAATTTTCTTCTCATGTCATGCTTCGCATTGACCTGTCAAACATTCCACACAGAAAATTCTTAAAGTACGCTTTCATGCCCGTCGATTTGTACGATCCTTAACTTCACTCCTGCAGAAAACCATCCCAAGCACACAGCATCGCCCAAGACGCGCTCCAATACAGACCAGTAGGTTCTTCGATGATGTAAATACATGTGATACAGTAGATTCGATGCACGTCTCACCATCCTTTGATAGTTTGATCCTGGACGCAACAACCGCGCTGCTATCACCGCGCACCACGCTGAAGGGTCCGGAATCAAGAACATAATGAAGCGTCTCTTTTCTCGCTCTTCCTCTCCCCAGGACCATGCTCCTCGGCCACGCAGGATTCCCTTGTGGACGTCTTTGCAACACGAGGCAAATATGTAAATTTTCCTGACCTTTCGACATCCATTCGTGATGGTGATATTGTTCGCAGCGCACTGCTAATGCCCAGAGTGGAAAACGACATCTGGCGAGGCCGCTACATCCTCCTCGTCGGCAAGTTCACACTGGTGCCTCAAGCAGCAGCACGCCACCAGCAGGGACATCCAATGCGATCAGTGGAACCACATCGGAACCCTTGCAGACAGAGAGTACCAATGGTTCTTCTGCAACTAACAGACCGCCTTCCCCGCTGGACGTCGAGCATGTTCCACACACCAGCTGCTTTGCAGTTCTCGCAAGGTGCTTCCCGCGTCTATCACGCACTTGACAAACCTGTCCATCCGCTTCAGGTTCCCCCTAGACTTCTTGTCCCTTCCCAACCTTTTCATTGGTGCAATCTTACTTCAAGATACTTATGACATTCGATGATGCTCCCGTGGATGACTACAACCATACGTACCATTCACTCGTTCAGCCGAAAAGATACCAGTCGTAATTGACTCTTTTTTTCATTTGCATGGATTACATGTACCAGCCGAGTATATAACATTTGATAGCTTTGCATAGCGACCCATCACTTACGTGGTCAACCTAGTGTATTAACGAGGCATCTATACACTGATGCATACAAAAAACATAGTGCATTGCAATCCTGATTTCAACATCCCCAGCATAAGCATAAAGTACTTAAAAGTCAAACACCGCGTACGCGGAAAGCAGCACGCAGACCACTACGCAGACATACGGATGTAACGCGACAGTCATGCACGCGACGGGGAGACTGTCGCACAACAACCACCGGCTCGCTCTGAAGAAAGGGGATCACCTCAAGACACCGACAGGCTGCCAAGATGCGACAAGAAGTGCAAGGGAGCTGGCCTAGCTGGCCATAGCGTCACCAGCCACGAACCAGTCCTACATATACCAGCTCGCGCAGTTCGTATAGTGCGCTTGTAGGATCCGTTGGTAGTAAGAATAGCTCACGTCAACTAGAACACAGTCATGCCCGATTGTGTTCCCCCATACTGGCTCTTCACGTCGTCGAGGTCTGTCGTGCCGTCCTGGCTCTTGTAATCATACCCGCTCATGCTGCGCCACGGTCAGAAGCACCGGCAGCAGAGGAGAAGGAGCCACGCCTCTGTAAGCGATCTGACTGCGAGAACGCCATGGTAGAACCGCCGATGCCTGCGGGTGCTTGGCGGTCCAGCATCCTGGGAGATGATGGAAACTAGCGTAGCTACCGTACGCACTACGCTTCCCAGCACCCCCGGAGCCACGGGTATACCAGGACCAAATCCACCAGCTGCAGCGACATGGGAAGCCAGAAGAATAAGTGGCTTGCGAGCGCAAAGGACTGCACATCAGACGGGATGTACCCAGGCATCATGGGTGCGGGTAATAAACTAGTATCGAAGCGACTTGGGTGTACCAGATCTGCCTGCACCTCCAGCGTTGGGGATGAAGTCCCGTGCATTTGTCTCGTGGCGACGGAACTGGTCCATAGACTTCACAAGGGAGCGGCGAGGTTTACTGAATTGGATCATGCTCGGCTGTAAGTTGTTCAGCGGGCCCTCGACAAGGGTTGTGTTCCTTGTAGTGCGTAAGAAGGTAGTGCCACAGTGGGTGCTATGAGAATCGATCAGCGAACTGCAGGATCGACTACCAAATTGACTTGCCTTGCTGAGAACCTTTGGATTTCCAAGGATGACGACTCCATACTTTGCACGAGTCAAAGCCACGTTCAAACGACGAGGAGGTCATTCAAGAAACCGATACCCTGGTGTTCGTTGCTTCTGACGCAGCTCAAAATGATATAATCCTTCTCTCGTCCTTGGAAGGCGTCGACACTGGCCACCTCGATATCCTTATACAGTTCCTTCTTGAGAGACCCGTTGAACTGCATATAGTTGACAATATAGGAACGTTGACCCTCGTACGGAGTGACAACGCCGATTGATTAGGCACGACGCCCGACTTGAAGAACTTGGTCACGATCTTCTCAACGTTGGATGCTTCCGTCCTGGGATCAATAATAAGCAGGTGCAAATAGTAAACGATAGTATGGGAAGTACCTATTGAGGAACGAAGTTCCACTAGAGGATATTTCCTCCTGGACCAAGGTTCTGGTAGAAGAACATCGGGGTGTCCGGGGGCGGGCCACGGAAAATCAACATTCTTGCGAAGACGCTCGGGAGCAGTGACACCGTTCTGTAGTGTGCCCTCATAGAACATGTTCGAGGGGGAACTCCGACAAACAAGGGTGCATGCGGTATTGCACTTGCAGACGAATGGGTCTATTGCCGAGTACAACCAGACGTTCGAAGAGCGATTGCGTCAGACCAGCGCGCGCAGCTTTTTTGTTCATGATAACCGGACCAAGCTGCTGATGATCGCCGACGAGGACAACCTGTTTACAACCCAAGCACCAGAGGGATCATACATTCTGGTTCAAGATCAGTCAATGAATGATTCATTAAAGGACAAAAGCTCCGCACCTGGTTCGGCAGCTTGCGTAGCTTCGTCGATCAACACCGTCCTGAACTTGAGTTTGTTGAGGCGAGGATCACCAGCACCACCACACACGTGCAGCAGATGACATCCGCAGCACCCAAAATCTCCTTCTCGCACTGCCTGATCAATGTCTTGTACTTCCTCTCATCGTTGGAGCTCAATTCTCCCTGTTCGTTCTTCAGCATGATCAACTTCTGCAACTCCACGTGAGTTGTATTGTTTGCCACTTGTTGGTGCAGCGTCAAGAACGCGACGCTAGAGTCCAGGGCTTCGCGGGATTTGGCGGTCAGACGCACGACCTTTAAACCAGTAGCGTGAATCTTTTCAGTGAGCTGGTCAACAGCCACGTTCGAACGGCGCGCAGACGAGAACTTGACCGGGATTCATCTTGGCGAGATGATAGACGATTGAAGCGGAAGTTACGGTCTTTCCAGTACCAGGAGGGCCTTGGATCAAACTAATGGGCTTCTGCAAAACACTTTTGACTGCATACATTTGAGAGTGGTTGAGCTCGGGAAGACCTGGCGCGGAGAAACGCTTAGGCATCTGCGTGCGGAGAACCTGGGGGGCAAGATCGTGTCCAAGAAGCTTGTGATACTGGCGAGTGGCTTAGCGACTTCAATAGGGTATATAGGGATGAACGTACAATGTAACCATTAACGCTTTTCTCATCGACTGCAAACGTCTTCATCGCCAACTGCATCCTATCAAAGCTGGTAGATTTCCAGACAAAATCAGCCGCAAAATTATGAGTGCAATCGGTAGGTACACCCTCGGTCCGTCGTAATTCAAGCCCAATTTCGTCGGAAATGTCTAAAAAATAAGCATGAGCACAACACCTTGTCTCGTGATGTAAAGCTCACTGTTCGGAATCTTGATAACGTGTCCTACTCCGTCCCAAGCTTTGTGCAGTTCACCCTGGTACCTCAACCGCAATTCATCACCCACCGCAAGTCTGACTTCACCGCTCTCAAGCTTGGGCAAGCAAAACCACGCAACTCTTTTCTGGTTCAAACCAACATCCCATCGGACAGTGATATCAGTCTGAGTCTGACTCTCCTTCAGGCGTTTATCATAATCAGCCTCGATCTTGACGAGAGGTCCGAAAATATTCTGGTACTGATATGCGTCCTCGTAATGGAGAAGGATAGGCTGCGGTTCGTCATCGACACCAGGCTTCTCGAGGTCCTCCAGTGTGGCGTTGGCGTTTTCACGCCAGAGATCTTCCAAGCGGTTGATCTGATTGAATGATATCTGACGAGATCGAAGTTGTTCGGTTTCGGTGGGAGGCTTCACGAGCCACGAAAGGAAAGACCTGTCATCGATCAACGGTGCCCATAGGGAAGCGTTCCAAGACATATCCTTGCTGACTGTCGCACAGGGTTGGCTGCATATATGCCATGAATATGAGTCTCGGTGCTGACCTGGCAGACTTACCGACACAAAAGGATACAACAGTATCGCTCTTTGCGGGATAAATCCCAGCATGAACACATTCTTGCTTCCACAATTATAGCATTCTGGAGTGGTTTCACCGAGCGGGCTCTCGGCATGCAAAATCACCTCCTTATGTTTTGCGCGCACTAGATGGTTCACGATATGTGAGGCGGAAGTGTTGCCGCGCGAGTTGCAGAACCATTTAGAGCACACAAGACACTTCACGACAGAGGCTGGCGAGTGGATTCCGCAATAGCTGAGCGGAACCGATATGGATCGAGTCATGTCCCTTGAATAATACGTATAAAACTTACCTGCAGGCATGAGGAGGGAGATCCACGGTACCCTCGTCTTTGAGATCGTCAAGAACAGCATAGAAATCTTCATCTACACCAGTTCTCGGCGTGTGATGGTGGTGCCCTTCGTGTCCATTGTTGTATGAGGATGTTTGGGAGCGATCGTCTACGATGGAGAGGCTTTCTAGGTCGACTGGCGTTCCAATATTTGTAGTTGCAGTATAGACAGAGGAATTATCGTCTACGACACTGGTAGCGCCACCGTACGACGAAGCAGAGTCTATATATTGAAAGTTGTCGAAGCTGTCCATGATGGTTTGCGGTAAAATGTTCTTTACCGCTTGCCACCTCAGCCTCATTAAACATTTTCCCACACTCTTCGGCATGGGGAAATTGATTCCGCGGACAAGATTCAGCAAGACTCCCCGAGCTCGAATACAACAAAGGATGAATTTTAATTCTATTGCGACTGATACAAATGTTTGAATACTGCAAATGACAATGATCCAAGTCCCCATCCATACGGATGTCAAGATGCCACAAAATATTGTACCGCCAGCCATAATGGAAACAACCAGATAAAATAAAAAAGGGAATGAGTGATTTTGGTTTAGGATGCATTACATACAATTAACGCCTTTGCTTCTGGCGTATTCTGGGACGCGTGGGCGTCTCATTGATGGGTGGTAAGCGTGAAGGTATACCATCCGCTGGGTGCGAGATCGCTCTGCCTGAAGGTTCGCCAAGGACTGGGCGATTGCGTTGATGACCGGAGGGTTTGGAAGGAGGCGCCCACTTCGATGCCTGATGCCTTCTACTCGCTCCATTGGCACATCTTCGACTTCGACAGCTAGCGGCTGGCTGCTGTCACGGGCACATTCTTGAGGTTATTCGGGCTCTGCAGACTCCTCAGAAGCTTCAACTTCGAGGGTCCTGGTCCATTGCGTCTACATCTGCTTGTTCTATTTCTTCCACCTCATCTTCCTCCTCAGTGTCGTCATCATAGAAACCACTTGGAGGTTCTCCAATCCATTCATCCTCATCAGAGCCAAAGTCCCACACATCAAGGCACTGTAGCAGGATTTCGATTGCTGGCAGCGACACACCAGCGACCCTCGAAGACCACCTGCCAAACACCCTGGATGCCTGTCAAAAGATCACGGACGACGGTACCATCGCGCACGTTCCACATCTTGAGCGTACCATCTGACCCGCTGAGTACCTTGAACTCGTCGTGTTGGAAGCACGTAATAGCGCCCGTATGGGCAGCAAGGGTGTGGCGCAGCTCTCCAGATTCAGGATCCCATATGCGCAAAGTAGAGTCGGCAGCGGCGGAGACGAGATGGGAAGGGGAGAGGCCAAGCAGGCCGACGAGCGATGTGTGGCCCAGTCAATGTATGTTGACACTGTCCTGTTCGTAAGTTCCCACACACGAACAGTGCCATCCATGGACCCCGAACAGGCGATCTGACGGTGGATATCAAGTACAACACTATATACTAGCGACAAAGCTTCAGTAACAGGATTTCGAGGAAAAGAGGGATACAAACCTTTCTGTGTGTGGCCCACAAGCACCCATTTACATTCGCCAGTGACGATGTCCCATATTCTTACAGTACAGTCATAGCTGCCAGATACAAGGGTGCGGCCACGGGCGGCGAGAGCACGAACTGCATGGTCATGACCCTCTAGATGCATCTTATGATACGGATTATCATCTGCATCCTCCTGCAAATCAAAGATATGAGAACAGAATACGAATTGCTTTAAAACGAATCTTACGTCAGCTGGGTCAGCCTCGGAGTCATCTGCACCATAGCATCTGTACTCAGGATCACCGGGACGAGGTAAAGTCCACACACGAAGGGAGTGGTCACGGCTGCCAGTCACAATCACTGACCGCTTTGGCCATTTTTCCTTCGTTATGACACCGCCCTCGCCTTCGATTTCGATCCACTCTGGCTTGACGATAGCCAGACATCGGACAGTGCTCGTGTGACCGCCAAATATATGCGTACATCGACCAGTTGCAAGATTCCAAATTCGGACTGTGCGGTCAGTCGACCCGCTGACGAGCGTGTCTTTGCAAGCGGCAAGCGCCCACACGCCACCTTCATGGCCATCCAGCATTTGCAGGAGTTCACCTGTCAAAGGGGAGTACACATGAATTGAGTGATCATCGGACGCGGATATTATGCGTCCGTGTGAAAGAAGAAGACAAGTGACGACAGAGGAGCCGTGTGCGGGGAAGGATCGATGTTTCGGTTCTCGTTATCCACCCATCGAGTTCGAGTGAGTTGTCGGATTTGAAGAGCATCTTATATGGATGAGAGAGGGGAAGAGTCTGGGGAGTAGGGGGGATATTGAGGCGGCGTCTAGCGTAGATCGAGTGCGCAAAAGCTCGCTCTGTAACGCCTCCGAACCAAATTTTGGTGCTTTTGAGTAGATCCGACCAAAGTACAGGATCAGAATCGATGATGGCGCGCCAAGCTTTGGATACTCTGGAGGCACGAACTTACAGTAGAATAAGGAAGGAAACTCAGAACATGGGATGCAAGTTCTGGGGGGAGTAAGGTTAAGAAATCACGCGCTAGAGTCGGAGTCAGAATAGAATGCAGTGTCCGCAGAACGGGTAGGGGAGAATGCCGTAATAAGTAAGGAGGAAATGAGATTGTAACGGTTGCGGAAGGCTTGTAAAATGTGATAAAAGAGAGGGAAGAGTAAGAAGGGTCGTGAGGGCAAGATCCGGTTGCAGTGGCGCTTGAGGTTGAGGGGAAGAGGCACCGCTAGGAGGTGCAGAAGGCCATATAGTCTGTGGTGGTGGTGACCCATGAGGAGATGGTAACGGTGATGGAGGTGCGGCTGCATTCAAAAGTAGTAATTGGCGGAAGATGCGTAGCCCTTGCTTTTTTTCGGGGAGGCGTATGTGTTTCGCGCTCAGTTGTAGGCTCTACGCCCTCCATCATATTGTCAGCGCCGTGTGACCTTTTCCTGCCATAGCGCTCAACGGCCTCCGCCAGCCCTACAACCTTGCTTGAACTGCCGGTTGAGTCGGGTCTTATCATTGTCCAGCCCTTGCCACTCGGGACTGGGCTCCTCCTCGTCCAGATCTCCTTCACCGTCTGTCCCGTCGCGGAATGTCGCACGGGAGCCATTAGGAAATACAAGGGGGAATCTCTTGATGGATGAAGGAAAATTAGCGTGCAACAAAGGATACTCTCTAGGGTCCTTTGGCTCAGCCGGAGGTGGAAGCGGTGGCAGCTGTATCGGCGCGTAAGCGGTCGTGGTCGTCGTGGTCGTGACTATCCTGGTTGGCGAGTATATGCGTCAATAATGGCTCAGATAAGCTAGAATAACGAGTAGAACGTACGTCGTAGTGTTAACCGACGGTGCAAGGACCAGCGACGGGCGCTGCTGGTGGGTCATGACGATGAGCAAGTTGTTATCCTTAAACGTTTTCGCGCTGTGGCCGAGCCACCCTCCCCCACACAACCAAGCCTGGTCATATTCGAGCGGAGCTTTATTTTAACCATATCGGCATCTTCTGCCGTGTACCTAAAACCAAAGTCGCCTGCCATGGTTTGGAGGACATATAAGGTGCATGGGTAGAATCTACCGTAGACTCGCGTAGAAAATTGGTAGACTCTGTTCGGATAACTCCGGTGAATCTACCGCAGTCCACCCGAGTCTACCGCAGTCCACCCGAGTCTACGACGCCACGGGTAGAACGACCAAACAACGTCCTCGATTTGTATATGATCAACTGCTCCTCATCGCTGTCACCGACGTCCCCCTCTGATGCCCTTCATGATGGGCATCGGTCAGCTACTTGCATCCCTCGATGAGTATGATCTCACTTTCCCCGACCTCATGGCCTTCGTTCGGCTTGCATGCATGGCGAAACCATTCATTCGCCAGTGCATGACTGACATCCGACATCCACCCATCCATCCTCCAGAAGTCGTCGTATCCCTTCTTGCTGGCGCACTCGGTCAAGACCCACCGACTATCCTCGCATGCTGGGTAGCATTCCGTCAGATTATCTGGACTCATGGCGCAGTACTCCCAACTGACCAGGAGATTGAAGCATTTAACCGTCATGGACTTGTGCGCGGTATTGGTGCGTTGCTGTTCGTCTTTTCTCTTCTTTCACTGACATGTTTCAAACCTCATAGGGTATCACGACTTGTATCCACCGACACGTGTATGCCAGCGTCCTGAATGCGTGAACTACCGTGACGATGATGAAGTAGCCACTCTCACGGATGTCAATACATTTCGTGCCAGCCTCTTTACGCTACGAGATGGTTCTCTTCCAGTCCATTCGGTATCAACATATTGTCGACGTATGTTCTTTATCTTCTAGTAATGCATACTGACCATTTCATTCAGAATGTCATGCTAGATATTACCCCAACTATTGGACTAACAACACCGACTCGACACGCATTTACTATGCTGGTGTTCCCAGCGTCATTCAGGCTGCGAGGCATTTCTATATTGAAGCTGCGCTGTTGGAACTTTTTGCAGCAACGAAAGTCTTCGGATGGTATGTCGTCTTTCTCTGACAATAATAACGCTAACCTTTCATTCCAGGATGTCTAGCATGAACTGCGCTCGCGTGTACAACTATGCACTTGCTCAACGGCACGCCTACATCTCGAACAATAGACGTGCTTTTGATGCTACACTTCCACGAGCTTTTGACGAGGAATTTTCATGGCAGTATACCCTTCGAATGCGCGACACTGACGTCCTGAATGGTTTTTTTTATCTACTCACTGCTACTGGAGAAGGCAGAGCATAACAGTTGCCTTGTTCTCCCCCCACGACGAGCAACAACGGATCCGAATTGATGTTGCGCTGAGCGAGCGCAACAAAGAAATGGAAGGTATTGGGCAGGAAGCATACCCGCATGCCTGTGACTTGTGCTTCATCGTTATCGGCGACGACGACTCAAAATGTAAGTCAATTGTTTGTCAGATGCATGGCGTCATGCTCAGATTGATTATATGCCATAGCGAAAATTCAAGCAGCCGTTTGTGATGGTAATACCATCGGGCACCCTTGTTGTGCAGTGCACGACTGCAAAGTCCCCCCTTATGACCAACCGTCATCGTTTCTGTCCGGACCATCAAGACTTAAACCAGCGGTGCGCAGTTGATGGCTGTGACGAGCTCAATGCCTCTGGATTTCGAACATGCGCCAACGCGGACCACCAGGCTCTTGAAGATGCCTACTTCAAGCCCGCGAAAGCTCTCTTCCAGCTGCGAGCGCGGCTCAAGAGGGCTGGTGTTACCTTACCCTTGGACTCTGTTCCTTCGCCCACGGATAGTGGTAGTAGTAACCCTAACAGTGCAGAAGAAGATCTCGAGGTGATTGTTGACTCCGAGTGTGACGGTAAGCCAGAGAACGGCAACAAACACCTCAGAGCAAGGTTTGGTCGACGCCGCACCCATAATGAGCAACTCATTATGCGACCTTGTGGAGTGATATTAGCGCGGGCTACGTTTTTTGGGTCCGAGGCCGTCTCTGCTGTTAATGTGAGTTACACGCAGTCTTACTGATTTAAGCTAACATTTAATCTCAAGGAATTTGCAAAGGCGGTATTCCCTACTGCCGCATCGACACCTGAATACTTCGTCTTTGACAACAACTGCAAGCTCCGCGCTCACCAAGACGCTATTGGTGATGACCACTTTGCTGCAACAGGGATGCCTGTTGACGTGTTTCATTTCAACTCGAAACACAAGGAAACTGACACCTACTGTCAGCGCCACTGCAACCCTGCTGCTTTCCCTGAGCTCATTTCTGGCGGCAAGTGGCGATTTAATACATCAATTTGTGAACAGACGAACGTTTGGCTAGGTGGGTATCAGGCAATCCTGCGAGACATGTCTGTACACCGGTACAACTTTTATCTTGACGAGATGATCAAACGTCGGAATCGCTATGTTATCTCAGAGTCGGAGAGACGAGGGCATTCTCCTTGGATGATTTCCATGGAAACTCTGTTTGGTAGTGACTAGTGCATTGACTCTCCCGGTGCTGTTTGCATTACATTACATTGTCTAGATTGTTGTCATTTGAAATTCTATCTCTTGTTGTATGTTTTTTGTCCTGTGTTTCGAACGAATGCCAGAGTTCATCACTGGGGATCGCACCATTCAGATGTCAAGTTTCATGGACATTTTGATGCCGCCGTCCTCACTTGGGGATCGCACCATTCAGATGTCAAGTTTCATGGACATTTTGATGCCGCCGTCAGTTCACTCTCGAGTTGGAATTATGACTAGCTACTCATAGTATTTTTTCAACATAAGACGGTTGGATTTCGTGGATAACAGACAGAGTAGTTACTCTAATTAAAAGGTGGTAATGGTGGTAAGGATTGATAATCTACGGGAGAAGGATCATTTAAAGGTGGTAAGGGTGGTAAGGATTGATAATCTACGGGAGAAGGATCATTTAACCAAGTGCTAAATAGATCAAATTGGGGGTAACTCGAAAGATCTAAAGGAAATTCAGAGTTAGTGGTAGCCGCTGCAGTATCATTGTCCATTTCATCTATGTTCTTGAGTAGCGAGACAAGAGCATCACTCATCTCGCTGGTAAGGTCTGTAGGGAGCGGCAATCCAATGTCAGTGGTAGATGAGTTCATTGGTAGACTCGGAGGCAGGGTAGGACCTGAAGGACGAGGATTAGCCAACCATGGAAGTAGTAAATGAGATTATACATACACTTTGTGTCCGAGTTCGAGATGCTACCCGGGCTATTACTACCAGGTAAGACTCGAAGCCGCATTAGCTTTGATTTCAGCCAAGAGAGTGTTCCACGGCCAGCAGGACTATATCCCGCATTGACGGCACGTTCAACCCTATCACTTGAATTCTCGATAGCTGCCCGATAAGCGGCGCGATGCTTGTAAAATGTTGCCTTAGTAATAGGTGCAATTTGGAAATGTAGTGGCCGAAGAGGGCCTGGATCATTTGATCGTCTGATAATTGACGAAGAGCTGAATCCGGGGAACCATATCACATGCATACTTCCAAGGAAATCGTGCTCGGGCGCCTGCAGGGATGGTAGCGTTGGGTTGAACCATGGCTAGCGCAGGCACTAATACAGGCCCAGGTGACGTGTCCGAGTTGGCGGGCAGCGAGTGACAAAGGTGATGTCGAAGTGGGACTCGGCAATAGGCTAGTAAGCGGTAAAGGAATGGGTGACTGTCGAGAGATGAGAGCCGTGCTACTGGCATTCCTCTGCCGCTTCAATGGCGAGGTCATCCCATCCAATCGGGACAGATGCATACCCGTGGCACTAAAGGATCGTTTTGACGGAGATTGGACAGTCGCAGACATGCAACTAAGAGATGAGACCCTCTCGGCAAATCCAAGTAGCATATGATTGTCCGGTCAGATCAATAGAACGAAGCAGGATTGTTGAATTGGGAGGACTGAGAAGCGGAGTCTTGATATCTTGCTCGATCCAGGCATGCTGATCACTGCAATATACTGCAATATAATCCCCGAGCTCGAATCTCATCAATAGCGGATGGTCTCCTGGCACGAACTTTCCAGGTGTGGAGCATGTCAGCTTTGCGAGGTGGGGAGGTTCATTGTTCTAGTGATATTTCAGCACCGAGAAACCATCTAATACATGTAGAATACTATACCTTCAACCAGAGCACTATATCAACCATATTGCGGATCATAATGCTCAGACTTTGGTCAGCTTGAAAGCGTTGCTCAGCCACCAATGTCCGCTGGTGCCCGAGAACATAGTTCCGTGCGTAATTGGGGTCTAACGGCCGAGCATAGTTTCGTGTGAAGTGGCTGGGGAGTGACTGACTCGATGCAGTAACTGGAGGGTGGTCAAGTTGAGTAGACGTGGGGTTAATGGTGGCAAGTGGTGGTATGGTCGAGTTTTCATGCTGTTGGGTGACAACTGGAGAAGATGCAGCTTGCGACTCGGTGGACCCTACACCCTCCCGCCACCTCACAACACTGCTTGCAGTTGCGTCGTGTGCAGTTCTTGTTGGCCTTGCGTGGCTGAGTGCCTTGCTTCAAGTTGCGGCAGTCAGCCTTGGTACACAGGACTGTATCAGTCATACTACTACTACTAGTAGTAGGCCGTAGTTAGTATACTGCAAAGGTTGAATATCGAGTCACTCACACTACAAAATTTATACTAAGTACGGCGTCACGGCAATCAATATAAGGGTAGGTCCAACATAAGTACTAGTGACATAGTAGTGGTCAGCGGTGGGTCAGACGGTGACGAGGCAGATGGGCAGAAATAGTGGTGGGGCAGATGGTGAAAACATTGGCTTGCCGTTGTCATATATATGCTAGACGCTGTTGCAGGCAATGATCACAGCCGAGCAATGACGTCGTTGTTTGGTTGATCTACTGAGACCGAGTTGAGTCTACGCAAGTCTACGGATGGTCTATGGATTCGGCTCACTTTCCACGAAAAGAATTTGTAATGCTCCCGGATTTTCTACACGTAGTCTATGGTATAGTCTACCCACGTACTCTCAAAGTTCTGCATGGTTTGTTATAAAACCATGTTCCAGTTTTTATATCAAGACAGGTCAACCGTCTAAAATCCCGGTGACGCTGTTACTTGTTACTTTCCCAGTTCTTTGGCTCTTTGAATCTCAACTCATGGCACACGCCAGTCAAAATCTATCAATTTTGTACCTTGCATAGGCCGCCGAGTCGAGAGGCACCGAACCATGTCTGTTTCCCCCACTGTAATCTGATTTACTACTTCGCTGCGATTATTACCTCCCTACGGAATGGATCTAGTACAGGACCAAGACGCTCTGAAGCGCAGAGACTCAGTCACAATCCATATCCATACCTCCAACGCTGGTTCCATGAGCATTTTCTTCTTAAATTTTTGGCTTTTGTTCCTCCAGATTGGTGGCATGTCATTCGGACGCTGAGCGAAGAGATTGCAACATCTCGCCTCGTGTACGTATTCGTTATCATTCTCAAATGAACGTGGCGACCCTCTTGAAAATCATTACCATGGGCCGCCACCAAGCACCACTTCACCGGCATCAGGCACTGATCTCGGTTGTGTATGGTTATCCACGCCACGCAATCGCTAGTCTTTGACTCTTTGGTCAATGTCGACATCCATGTGTTCCACCGCGACATTTGACGGGTCCCCGTCCTCTATAAGTTCACAATTTGCCAAGGCCGTGTCAACAATTTACGAACAAATGAGAAGTCAACGAATCCCACTTCTCTTCGTTTCCGCCTCCGCTACATCACATCACCCCGCACCACATGCCCACAATCAATTCTCTAATATCCCAAGCACGTTCAAGTTCGCTTGTTTTGATAGTACTCTGACGAGCGTGTTTGATTGCAAAAAATATCAAAATATCATTTACAGAAATATCATTATCTTATCAATAATGGGTCTTGCGAACATCAAGACTCACCCTGTCTCAAACCATCGTTGTGCCCGTCTTGGAGGTTTCTTCCCTATCCAAAGGAGACTATTCGATACAGTGATGTTCATTTCTCTATCGCTGGGGTGACCAATACCGGCGCTCTGACAGCGTCTATGCACCGCGGATCATTTTTTGGCCTCGGAATTACCCGTGGTTTTCATGAAAACAAATCTCCGTTAATTAGTTCCTCCTCTTTCCTGCGAGTTTCAGACGCCTCGTGCCATCAGTTGTACTTGGCTCACGTCGGTCCCGAATATTCATGGTATTCTGTGATACATACCGTTAGACGCGGACGTTAGGTGCTAAGGAACACCCTCTATGTCTGTCTGAGTGCATGGGAACTCATACAGACTTAGAGGGTGTTCGCGACAAGCCTACAATGATATTTCAGGCAGACTACCCGTTTACTTGGACGCGGACATCAGATGCCAAGGAATACCCTCCAAGCCTCTGGGAGTTCGCCTCGACTCCTACATACTCGGAGTGCCTACGACGAAGCAGTCATCCAAATAAAAGTTTATATTTGATATTTGCCCAAGAAAGCGGCGGCCGACATATGCGGTGGAGCGGTCACCGGTGGAACCAGAAGCCTTCGGAATACTGTCGCCTTTGTCCGAATGAGTGGGAACCGATGGTAGAAGCCTTCGAACCTCGTGTGCGGTCATCCTCGACGTTTGTGTAATCGCTTGCAAAGGACCACTATCCATACAAGTACTTATTCTACTCTACTTATGTTGTCATCTTCGACTCATCAATAAATGAGTCCGATGAGCACGTCCATTCGCCGTGTGAAAGTTGTACCTCTGGCGTAGTAGCCTAAAATGGCAAGGACGAGAACCAACGGTCGTCCCTCCGTCAATGATGGGGGAAGGGGATAACTCGCTCAATTGATAGTCAGGTTTATTGTAGCGGGGGGACACCTAATTTGAATCCCCAAAACGTACGATGAAGAACGGCATCGCGGCAGAACTTCCAGAAACGTTAAGTATACCTGCGGGAAGTCCCCCAAGGACGAGGCGGCCGCAGTGGAACTGCAAAGTTTAACTTTGACCCAAGCGCAAGTATGTGTACATCTGCACAATAGTCGGCGTAATCGCCCTCCAACTACGAAAGACAGACAAGTCTATTCTTTTTTTAGTTCTTTGTTTCGTGGCGTCTGCCCGTCGCAACGAGTATTTTCATAAAGAACTCTGCGTGGATCATCGTGGACTTTGTTGCTTGAGTTGGGCAAGTTTCCTGAGAGATGTTGATGCTAAATAAGTCGTTCTGTATCGAGTGCTGGCTACCAACAAGGATTGTGGATAGTAGTTCATTCTGAAGGATTTATCTAACACACCGAGCCGCGAGAAAGAAATCTGTAATAAAGCAGGGAACGAGACATGAGTTAAGCGACTACGTGAAAAATGTCGACCACTACAGCTGGCTGTACCATCTTGCGATTGTGACCGTGCTGAGTTTAGATGCGGGACACAAGACCATACCAATCCAGGTGCCACCAATCATGTCTGATCTTTTGAATGTGGGTGAAACAGCGCCTAGGAAACTCGCAACGATGGCACATTGTCCAACAAGTACTTCTCACGAGTGAACATCATTTGCTCCCGCCCAAGCCAATGACGGCTGCTGGAGTCTCTCGGAGATCTCCAAGCTGGATTAAGTGCAGTACCTAGTTACATGAGTAACGACAGGGGAAGCATGTTCGCGAAGAGTAGACAAGACCAATGGGAGCACAGGCGCCCACGATATGATGACTGAATCTCTTGCTTAGAGTAGACGCTGTTGCCGATCCGAAAATAGGAGGATAAATAATTGCCCATGATGTCGATTGGAGAGCACATGGCGTAAGAGGATTGTCGTCTAGGTGAGTGAGTGCCTTGCAAACATAAGGGAGAATCGATCCACGAATGATGGTTGGTGCATAGCAATGCGACCGAGCGTTGATGCGGCCGCCGCCAGGCCGTCGAAGAGTGGTTTGACTGACCGAGAGACCAATGTGTCCACACTGGCGAATTGTCGATGCAATTCCAAAAGAAAGAATATCGAAGGCCAGGATTAACGTGTACCGATGTCGATTGGACTCGGTACGGAACAAAGTGTTCAGTCAAAGGAGCACCGACAAGTGATAGGAGCCAATCGTTGGGCTTCGAGCCATCGTCGACACGCGGTCGGCACGTGTAGACCTATCCAAAAAGGGACCCCGGCGGGATGTGGAGTACCAATCACCAGAGAAAAAAGTACCTGTAACAAAAAAAGAACTTCTCGATTTTGATTATTCGTGGTGAGAACGAGCAAGGCAACCTTGACTGAACTAGTAAAGGTGGGGACGGAACCCCGTTGAGAAAAAGGATGACTAGGCTTATTGTGATACAAAGGACGTGGAAACGTACATTCAATTGGCTTGGTTGCAGGGCAGGATAGGACAGGCGCCTGGCGTTTGTCCATGCCCAAGCTTAAACGAGTTGTTTACCGTCGAGGAACACTCTTCTGTCGTGCAGGCTGTGCTGTAATATACAAGCCATAAAGAATTGGCAAATGGGCACGTGCTACTACAAAGTGTCAACTCACGATACATATATTTAGCCCTGTCTTCGAGAAGCGACAGATTGATGGCAAGAATGTGCCAATAGTCCGAAGTTGTGAGTAAAGATTAGGACTACGTACAAATCTGTGGCATGTTACTCCAGTGTAGGTTGCGCGATAATGCGCTTTGTCGTCAGGGGAGCACCGACTGTAGGATATTCTGGAAGGAGGGTGGACATTGAGCGCTGAGCTACTTAATTTCCAAGCGCTGTCTATCTTTGTACATAGATAAAGAAGTCTAGACCCGACCAAGGTGGCAAGGTCTGAGGGGACGTCCGAGTTTGTGTACAGACTATTGCAGGTGTGACATTGTGCAACACAGCTATTCGAAGCCCTTGAGATCGTTCGCATTTATGACGGCCATTTGTGACCCTGGGATAGCTGCAGGCACCAAGCAGACGGAAGCAAGGAGCACGCGGATGGGATGCGGCTGCCTGAAGTTGATGATAATTGAAACTCCGAAGATGCGTTGAGGCGAAGAGGTCGCAGAGGGGTGACACAAGAGTGACACCGATGAAGACCCAAGAAGCGCTGAAATCTCTCATCAGATTCAGTGTTATTCGCGAATTGTCCTGGGGATTTTAATTCTACTTTCGACAGAAAAGTTTGAAGTTTTGTAAGTCAACGGTCTTGTCCTCTTTGCGTGGGTTACAGTCCTTTTAATTTTTTTTGACTTGATACTGAACAACTCCAAATTCATCTAGTACCCTAGTTTTTGGTTGGCTATTCGTTCCTTGTGTGGAACCGTGCCACTCCGCTTGAGAGTGTGAGCGCATAACAGCGTGAGCCAGTCTCCTAGGTGTTCTAGTATTGTCAGTTTCAGTTTCTGGTTTTAAAGTCTTACAAGGTATGCTCTCATCATATGTTATCTCCCTCGATATCATGCTTATGCCATTATCGCCCGTTCCGTGCTATCCGCAGTACTACCTCGACCCTTCCGCAAGGTTTGACTACATCATATCCATGCACCATCAGGATCACGCTATCCCTCAATCCACATGCCTCCTGCTCGTTCCCCTCAAATCGACCCAGCTTTATCGCTCTACCCCCCCTTACTACTCATATCAACAGCCTCAACAACACATCAACCACCACCTTACAGTTCCTCAGAACTTACCTTCACCATCATCACAAGGATCGGACACAATAGGTACACCCCCAAACGACAACCTGTCTTACTCACCTGGCAATTCAAACGGGAAGAGACCCTCCTCTTCCCTCGTCGGTGCGATGGGTGATAGCAGCAGGAAAAAGGCACGCTCAGAAGACAGCTTAGACGGGCACAGTCCTGCTCCTGACAAAGACGACTCGAAGCCAAAGACCACCAGGGGTTCACGGTAAGCTCACTCACTCAATTAGGTCGCATGAGCCGTAACATGCTGTTTAGCGCGTGTACGGTCTGTCGGCGTCTAAAAATGAATGTGTTGGTGCTGAGCAAGGCCCCCCTTGCCAACGCTGCATTAGTGGGAACCACGAGTGCATATTCGAGGAGTCCAATCGAGGCAAACGGTCCACCAAGTATGTTTCAATTTCATGTATCTTGCACCAATGGCCAACACTCAAAATAAAGTCCAAGAAAACACGAGCTCCTCACTCGCTCACTAAAGAAGATGGAGAAAACTCTGGACACTGTTCTAAAGTCTATCGGTAATCCGAGTATGGTCTCTGGCATGGTGTCAAGATCGCCCTCCCCGACAAGTCAAGCTGCACAAACTCGGGTGCTTCTGGAAACACCGTCGCCTCCTCCCCAGTCTGCCTATCCACCATCATCAAGTGCCAATGCCTCTGCTTCCCCAAAGCTTCATTCCCTTCCCGATAACTCGCTTAACCCCCTCGGGCTGCTTGCCGAGGCAAGCTTGGCAAACCGACGTGCCCAGGGCATCTCGTCCTCGTTCTCAGCGCGCCCAACGGATCCCGATCCTGACCACAAGTTGGGTGTGGCTAGTGATAATTATTTTAGGCCAGGTTCGTAGCCACTTTTTCGCACGTTGTTTATTTGGCAAATTGGCAACGTTCTAGGCCCGATGACAATACTCCCCTTGCGACGCTTGTATATCGAACGGCAGATTCAGCCCGAGATGCTGAGCTTTGTTAGCACCGAGCAAGTGGTCGCGCTATTTGATATGTGAGTATTGTGTGTCATACATCTTGACGCCGATCTGATCGGCTGCTAGCTTTTTTGACCATCTGAACGTCCGTACTACGTGCTATCACGCCATGTGGTGCCGTATCTAAATACTCTTTGTAGGTGCACTGTGAGCTCTTTGATAGAGAGTTCCACACGCCCTCGCTCGTTTGTTCCCGTTCGCCATTTTTACTGACAACCAGTAAGTTTACAACCCCTCATATGTGCGGCGATTTATCTTTCGCAGTTTGTGCGATATCATCGAAATTTTACACCCAGCGACCGGAACTTCACCAGCAACTTGCAGAACTTGCACAGAAGCTCGCGTTTAGTGTACCTGCCAAAGGTTATAAATCCCTTGAAATTGTTCAGGCATATCTCCTCCTCACTCTTTGGGGATGTGGTGCCGTAGAGCGCTATGAGTACGACAAGACATGGTTGTTACTGGGAATGGCCATTAGGTTTGTATTTCTTCATTCCGTTGACAGTTTGTGCTCAGTGACGTCTGCCATTCAGGATGGCGACAGACCTCAACCTGCATCGGAAGACAACGATGACCAGGCAAGATACACCAGAAGGTCGGGCTCGGGACAAGGAGGTCCACAATCGTGAGCGAACATGGTTGTTGTGCTTTGCCCTCGACAGAAGCGTGAGTTCTCAAATGGGAAAGCCTCACTCTATCAAAGAGGAGTAAGTTGGCATCATTTCTGTTTTTCATCTCTAATCATTGTATCTGCCAGCTTTGTGATCCGCAATGCACTGCAGTGGTTGAAGTCCCCCGTTGGACAACCAGGTGACACTGCTTTAGCAGCATACGTCGTGCGCATTCATTTATCGTGATCTTAATTTGATCTCATCCTTTACCAGGAATTACAGCGGATTGTATCCAGGAGCCTAGACTTCCTGTATTCGGGGACTAATACCCCGTCCGGTTTACAGACCGACTGCGATTACTTGATTATCATTAAAACTATCGAGACCCAGATACTTGCATGGCAGCATGAATGGACGGCTGCTCGACCTTTGCCAACCAGTAATTATACCTTTATTCAATGCAATCATCTATATCGTGCTTACCATTTGTTTAGACAATCAAGTCATGATGTCGCAATCTCAAACCGCGATGAAGTTTTACTTCCACTACTATATGTTAGTCGTGAATTCTTTTGGACTGCAGAACGCCATGGAGCGTTCGGCAGTGGATATCGGCCACTTCTTTTCGCGGTGTTATACCTCAGCCACGGCAGTGGCTATTGTCGCGCGAGACGAGCTTGCGCCGATGGGTATGCTGAAGTATTCGCCGGATTCGCATTTCGTATACATTTCTTACGCAGTACTACTCAGTTTACTCAAGGTACTTGATATCATCGTCCGCCACTTGTCATGATCCTCACATAGATCTCCAGCTTATCCGCCCGGAGTTCCAGCAGTTCATCGAGAACGAGCAGAACATCATCGACCTCGTCAAGGACGTTGCGAACGTCCTTGCAGATGTCGCCGTGAACTCTCATCATACCCCAGCGCTGTACAGCACATTCCTGCGGGCCCTGATCACCGCTCGCACAGATTCACCACAAGAGCCTGAAGAGGTGTCATCTGGGGACCAGTCTGATAGCATGAGCCATAGTGACATGGCTAACAACATGAACAATTCCGCGCTCTTCAGTGGTAATCCAGCGATGGGAACGAATGGCATCAATGGCATGAGCGATTATTCGTTCGCGAGTGAGATGGGTCCTGTTGCGGATATTACGACTTTCCCTCCCACTATGGCTGATATGCCATCTTCTGACGAACATATGGGTATGCTTTCTATGGAGAATATCCTGAGCAATGGATTTTGGGATAGTGTGTTGGTGCCTGGTAAGCATATATCAAGGAAATGTGCTTCCGGCTGGCTTTTCTGACGTATCTCAAAACAGGTTATTCAGACACCATGGAAGGCCTAAGCGGCGGCTTCGTGTTCGGGGCTGGGGGTAGTGGACTAATCACCCCCGGTTGGCTCCCCTCCCCCATCCCATCGGGCGAGAACACCCCAATGCGACATTCAACCATGGACTTCACCCAACAAAATTTAGTCTCTGTGTTCCAACAGAGAAAGTAATTATATAAAGCGTTTCATGTTCATGTCCATGTTTCACCTTTGTGTCATATATGTTGTTCTTGTTGTCGTTGTATTCAATTGTGTGGTCTACGTACAGTACACATCGGTCGTTTGTTATCATTGATTGATGGATCCCCTTCGTTGTGCTTTGTTTTATCACATTTTATTCCATCGAGACTTAATGTATTATATTTTTTTCAATGGGCACCAGTTCTTGATGTGCAATAATTAAGGCGATTGTCTATGGCGCTTCAAATTTATGTAAACCTAGTTTCTCCAGATCAAATTGCAAGACAGTCAAACGCCGTGGGACAATATTTTGTCCCAAGTCATCGTACAACTTCGGTTCAAGAATGCAAAGCGACTCAGTACTCAACAGTCGCCTTAGATCATGGCCGCGATGGTTCCAACGCTCCCACTGGCAGGCATCTCTAATGTCTTTCTACCCAACTCCAAATCATTGATGATGCACGCCGTTTCTGCGAGCGCCGAGTAAGGCATCAGGTCCCGATGTTTTTAACCAATTTTCATCACGGAAAGACGCCTTGGTCAGGCATACGCCTCATTGATGAGGCTCCCTGACATGGAGTCGCTTATCAGTGTACTTGTCAGTTGGGCAGAATACCGTGTGATGCTGCATGAGACCCTGGATCAACTGACAAGCTTGCGTAAACGATATCCGTCAAACGAGGTATAATCGGATGCTCCAGTAAATCGGCCGTTCTCTGTTGGAGTATTTGGCAATCTTACAGCACCAGCTGATGATGGGACAGAATGCAACGCAGTAACCTGGAACTATGACGTTCGCTTGTGTGCCAACACTGGCAGATGCAACAGCACACGAACATTTAATACTGGTGGACCTGGACCACTGTACTTGATTTCAGGTCCGTCTCGCCACGTTCAAGTTACGTCTTTAAGAACCTTGCTCATCGGATTATTTTTCAGCCACCGGCAAGATGCTCGACGTTCTATTGGCTCGATCGAAGTTCGTTCAGACAGTGTATGGAGGAAGGGCAGTGCTTGGGCAGTGCAGTTTGCACGTTGATGAGGACACACAAGTAAGTAATCCAATTGACGATCCATGAATGGTCAAGAATTGAAGCGAGCACGAAGATTGTCATGAAAGTTATTATCGAGCAGCTGAAAACATCAATATCTGCACAACACCAATGCCTTCTTCGTGGAACTTGGAACCAGCTCGACGTTGGGTCTCATAATCGTTCGCTTCGACAGTAGGCTGATTGCTCTGATTATTTCTCTTCCAGCGCGTAACTACCAAAAATCGAGGATGCGAACGACAATTTCAGATCTCCGAGTCGGTCTCCTAGGAACCCCACATGGCGAAGGTTGGGACTCCAGCCACGTGACCGACGCATCTTATTCAAATCTTATTCGCAAGATTTCAAATTGTATGTGCATATGAAATTCCGGAGCGAAAAATCCACCCACGGTACCTGCCGCTCTCAGTTTATATGTGACCCTGGGTTGGCCAAAAACATGAACAATCCTGCGTTCTTCGCTGGTAACCCAAAGATGGGAATCAATGGCATTGATGGCATGAGCCATTATTCATTCGCAAATGTGATGAATCCGGTTGTGGATATCTCGAGGTTCCTTCCCAATATGGTTGATATACGCCGTCTTTCGACGAACATATGGGGTGCTTTTTCTGGAGAACACCATGAGCAAAGGGTGTGTGTTGATACCTGGTAAGCGAATACCAAGCAGGCGTACCTCGATGGCCTTCCTGAAGTATCTCGTAGGTTGTTTAGACAACAGAAGGCTTATTTGGTACCTTCGTGTTCGGGGCTTCCAGGAGGCAGTGGGTTTATCACTTCCGGTTGCCTCCCTTCTCCCATGCCTCCCACGCAACGTCATAATCATCAACCATAGACTTTTAGCCATTGATATCTAGACCCCGCTTTCTAACAGCGCAAGAACTGAGTGATGGACGTGCTTCATGCCACCTGTTGTCACGTATGTTGTTTTTGCTGTCGTTTTACCGAAATATATTAGTCGTGTGTTCTAGGTCGCTGTTATGACGGAAGTTATTGTGGAGTATTTCCTTCCCCTTCACCACATTCTATGGAGACACGATGTGCTGACTAGAACCTCTATCCCCACTCCAGAGTCCAGGATGACCGAGGACTTTGCGAGTTTGACTGCAGAGATCTTCGCTTAGCGCAGGCAGTACATTTGCCAGAAGACGCAAGACCATGCAACGAGCTTCACCCGCAAGAGTTTCCCCTCTGCACTGAGAGCCTAGGATCAAGGTTTGGCAGGCTGCAACCTATGTTTGGCATATCTTACGGCATACCGTTCGAAGACTTGTAAGTACCTTGTCCCTACTTGGATATACCATAACCCTGAGATAGAATAGTGAAAGAGATGGAAGGCATCAATATCAAAAAGCGTGTGTAATCCCGTCACAGTAAGTACTGGAAACGGTCAGAACTTGCTACTCCCTGATCTCAACCTGATCTTTGAATCAGTATCACAGCCATCGATGTATGCAAAAGACCATTGCGGATGACTGGTTACATTTTGCAGTTTTCGGGCACAAAACAGACGTATTAGTCTCAAACGCGCATAGACCTCACAAAATATCATGCATCTCTACCTCATTAATAACTTGGTATTTTTTTTTTGGTTTGGCAAGTCTCTGGATTTTGGCACAATTAACCTCAGGACAACCGTGCGCACGAAGCAGAAAACATAATCACTAGGGTAACGTTGGCGAGTCTATCACAAACACTTCCCAAGAATAACGAGATTTGTCATTTTTTGAAGGCGCCCGACTCGCAAGATGCGTCCAAATGCGGAGTACTGCACTATACATGAACTGCGCGGCGCAAAACTGTCTTTCCTCATACATGATACTGACTCCATGCTTGCCAATCGGAGGTCCTACTTTTGATGAGTCTTATAATTCATATGGGCGTATTAATAATTACTGATGCGGCATGTCGTGTGTCCGACTTGAAGCAGATTCGTCGATGCTTTAGCAAATCCTCAGGGGGTGCCATGACAACGCGCGTATTCAGTACGAGTGAGTATGCGAAGTTGCTACCCGCTTGACGAATGCGGGTGGGCCCGTATACTCTTCGAATGTCATAGTATGTACTGTCTACATCGGGCGTTGCCCTCAGCAGACAATGAATTGGATTTTTTTAAAAATTCTGCGGATGTCGCCTCCCAATGATAGTGCGGGACTCTGCCGTAGGATGCGTTTAGCGGTCCAACCTGCGTTCTGGAGTCCCAGCGGACAGGATTGTTAAGCCCATCAGGTTGTGGCCTTGCGCCTCAGCAGGTTTCTTTTGCGGAACATGCACAGCGACTGCTACTCCAGGCACCGCGGATTTCCCAATCGGATTTGAACCGAAAGGAAGATATTAGCTGCCAGTTGTTTCCAGAAAGTGCTTTGAAGTGTCATAATAATAATTGTTGTTTGTCGATAACGATACAGTATTTAGATGTGCGCATGTAGGTAATGATAGGCGGCAGAGTTCATATGCGACTCACAAGAACGTGGGTGCTGGCCTTTCTTCATTCTGATACTGTTTAGCAACTTCACGGAGTTGTAAATTCAAGTTCTTCCAGGTCATTCTATCAGAAGTGCGAGGCAAGGCTGTAAATTCCTTCTGGTAAATTCTCAGAATGAGTCTGCGAATCGTTGGAGATATCTCACAAGGAAGGATAGCTTTCGAGCTCCATCTTTGCCTCGCTCGATACCACGAAGGCCAGTAGACTCCGTCGGGTCACTCACGCATCCCGGATCTCCATGCTGACATGGGACTTGATTCAGTCGATTCAAGGGAAACGTCACGCGTAGTATCCTCCTGGTCCCTGGCTGGAAAGATAACATCTACAAACCATCGCATGAATTCTGAGCCTCCGAGCAAATTTCGAGGCCACCTCTTCTGTCCACGCGTGCTCCTTGCTCAATATTTCCGCACTATGGCATTGTCACGTCTCATTGCATCTCATTTCGCGTACGCTGGTTAATTCACTGCAGTGAGTGAGAAATCACCAACGTGACGCCAATTTCAAGACTTCTTGGGCGTTATGATAATTATAACGTGCGCTTTGACTCTACGGGCCCTATGAACTCACAGAAGTGTGCTCATTCAAAAATGAACGCCGGCTTTGGCTGTAGTCTGGAGGGCTACACTTCCCTTTACATTTTATAGTTTCAAATAGTAACCCGTCAGTGTGAATGTTGTCAGCGAAGGGAAAGACAATCAAATTACATACCGTAGAGTGTTGCCGGGAAAATCCACTGTGGAGCATCGTCAACGAGGACAGGTAATTTGATGAACCCCTGTCTTTCAAGGTGGCTGTCTTCTGATTGTCATGGACTCGTGATGTTGACCTTCGCTATAAGAGCGTATGGCCACGCTGGTACAGTTCCTCCGCTGGGCGCATCCGTTGATCGGGACGATCATCAACATGTGTACTATTTCAAATGCCATGGGACTAAACTTGGTGCATAGACCGTCCATGAGGAAAAAATCTTGCTTCCAATACAGGTACAGGGGGACAGGGGGCCGGTTTATTGCACATGCCACTGACGGGCCTCGGGTTCATCCGCGACAACTCCTACAGCTTGTGCTCAAACTATGCCTACAACTGTGTCCAGCTGTGTCCCGAGTGAATTCTCCCTCCGAGTGGAGTTGCCCCATCGCAGGTCTCGGTCTCATCGGTACAAGCCATGGTGTGAAAATTCTTCCCCCCCTATTCTGGTCGCCATGCTGGGAGATATCGGAACGATCATGGGTGGAAGCATGTGAGTGCAAGGGAAAGAGAAGTGTTCTTTGGGTCTGTGTTTCATATTGGTAGTGATCATTGTAAGGCCATGTATGCCGTAAGATACTGATAGGCTGTATCCTGACGGTGTTCTTGGTAATGGCCAGTGATCGTAATCAGATTGGGAAGCCATTGTTCGATGCTTACGGCGGTCATCATTCTAACTCCTGATAACATGCCACAGCCTGTGCGGATATGATTCTGCTCTCACAGACTAAGGTCGACAGTTTGGGAATCTGAGTAGTAAAGAAAGGACAGATGCGTGTGTCAACTGAAGCCGCGGCTGCGGAACTAAACTTACAGAAGGATTGAAATCGAAAGTTGCACCTAGCCTTTGATTATGTCACCTCCAGTGCTCCCACAGCATCACTGAGAGTTTGCGCCTGCCAGGCACTTTCGCTTGCCAATGTCCTACTCTCCCTTTCTTAGAAAGCTGTGTGGATGAACTTGGGATGAACATACGTGGTAATTGTCTTGGCTGTGATCTGCCTCGATGCAAACACGTTTGTTGATACCAAACCCGACGAAAGCGTGATAATTTCCCGATAATCTGCAAATTTCTTACTGGATGGAACGGAAATAAGTCGCTTGCAGAAGTCTAATCATGGTGAGCAAATCTCTCGCAACCCAGCTGAGATAGCGAGATCCCAGCCCCTACTGGTCCTCATCGCTTCCCGTAACTGGCACGGGATCTGATGATTCAGTCAGGTTCGCAGCCTCATTATATAAAACCAGCGGCACCAGTAGTTTTTTCTTCCTTTTGCTTTGGTACTCATTAACTCGACCTCCTCTGCGCAGAGTTATCTGCAGGTTGGTGACACTTTGGAGGTGACGACCTTCTCATGACAGAGTACACATCTTCACCAGAGGCCGTCCAGGTCTTCAGAGACTCTCGGGAACGTACCGAACACTGGGTGCGTTCGCACTCACCATTGCATTCCCAGTTCTATTCCCCCGAAAGTCCCCCATCTGTCGTCAGTGACATAGATTTCGACGACTGTAGCTCAGACAACGGCAGTTCGCATTCTTTACCTCCGAAGATGATGTTGAGGTATGGGGATGGACGAGACGTTCCTATCTCGCACTGGCACTATGACAATGGTGGCTCTCATAAAGGAAGTAGTCATAGTTCCAGTTCTCATCCCCATCTTCAACACAGCCATCAACACCGTCCCCATGACCGCTCGAGATCTGCTGCTGATGCATGTCCTGCGCGGGGTCCTCGCCACTCCGAGTACGCAGGGTATCATCACTCCTCAACACGAAATGCACATCGTGTAGTCCCTGAAGATTTGGAACCTGAGGAAATACAGATCCTTCCCTCTGACCCACACGCCACTCCCTATGACTCAAGAAACGAAAAGTATCGGCCACGTAGAGCTTCAGAACCTTACCGGCCCGAACCCTTGCAATCCCCGCCCCACAAAAACGCTGTAGAAATCCCGGCAACACCCTTACCACGCCACGCTCCCAGCAATCACGGTACTGCTGCCCCGCCAGTCACCTACTCTCATTCACAACCCATTCCTCAACAATACGAGCAGCACCATCCCGCGCACTCGCATTCGCGAAATAGGCCTCCGCCTTCGATCGTATATGCACCCGGTTCTCACCACGCTACCGATCATTATGCTCCACCAACAATTGTGTATGCCCCAACTAAGGCACCAGGCATGACGTACACAGTGTCTGCGCCCACGGGCTCAGGGTTTCCGCAATACCCGCGTATCACTCCTGCCCCATACCCCACCGTCCATAGTCGTCTCGCGTCTATCCATGAAGAGGCACGGTATGGGATGAGAGGCCCCCTTCCAAGGGAAGATCGGCCGAGAGTGTCTGCTCCGATCAGCGAGGCTGACAGCTGCGGGTCGGGCAGCACCTACTACGTTATACCCACTCCTGGCCAGAAGGTGAAGGTTCTGGTAAGTCACCAGCGAAGTGCTTATCTCTCCTTGTAACTGTGTTCCATTTGGCTGACTTGTACTGTGTGGTTGTTTCAGCCCGGACCCGCGCCTTCCCTCTACACCGCCACGTCGACCACTAAATCGCCTTCGTCTCCCCAATCTAGCAGCACGGGATTCAAGAAACCGTTTTTCAGCAGGCTTTTCAGCTTTGCGTCTGATCTATCAAAAGGATCCAAAACCCCGAAGTTCTCCTCGAAGACCAAGTTACGACGACGCCATTCTTTAGACACGTCCACGGGCGGACATGTACGACACCGGTCGTGACATACCACCATGTTCTGGATGATGATTTTGAAAGGTTTTTGCATTGAACGCTCTACTGGTTTACATTTGTCTTGGTTGGAAAAACTTCGGATAGACTCTATGCACGAATATGCATTGCCACACATTGTACGACACTGACAGCACTGTAGCGCTAATTTTCCACTCATTTTTTTTTCTTTCTATTGACGTTTATGCTCGTATCGTAACCTCATTTCTCATCCTTCGATGTTCATGTAACTCCTACATGCCTTCTAGCAGGGTCACCGCAATAATGATCCTACATGCCTTTTAGCAGGGTCGCCGCAATAATGACATATCGTAACATTTGAATCTGACATCAACGTGATGCTGCAGAAGAACTCGTGGGTACACATGACATTCATTTATTTATAAACCAACTTCCGCCTCAATGAAGGTGGCACGAAGAAACCGTTAAATGAATTGCCAACTTGCAAACTTTCTTTGACATATCACTGGGCCACGACTAATGACCTTCCATCGCACCAAAATCACACCCCACCCTTTTTCACACTGAACGTGGATAGACTCTATCCAGTGCTTATTTTATAAGATCTGTCTGATCAGGATCCGATCGTGATCATGTGCGAGGGACATGAGGGGATATATGCTGTTAAATTTAATTGTTTCATGAAGGCCTAGATGGCGTTGACAAGGCTATCGTCGAGAAGCACTATTACAAGCATCGATGACGTTCGCCCTGAGGCTTCATAGATACCAGAGATGAATCATGACAGGTGGTGTGGATAAGCGATGTTTCCTCGGATGTTCGGAGCATTCGCTGCAAAAAAAAATCAAACCATGTAGGGATGAATAAATCCCTCCGAGTATGAGTGAGTTCAATGTGCGATTTGCCACAAGTGTGTTGGAGAGATAGAACCGGTCTGTCGAATGAGTGGGCCTCGGGGTGTTCGAGATAAGACGACGGTATACGGAGCAGCAAGTATGGGGAGGCCGTTGATGTCCGTAGTATGTGTATCTCACTTGCACCCAGATATGGTCGAGAAACTTGCTTGTTCCTCCATGCGGGACCCGGAATTTAGCGCTTGATACTCGTGCTGATCGCGGGGCGTTGAGCTGGAGGATTCAAAGTCGTCGAGGCCAATCGTAATGCATCCCACCTTAGGGGTTAAAATGGTTCTTCGAATCCGAAATAGTTAGGCACCTTGGTTTGGGTGGTGTAGCAACGTGCGGAACGTATGCAAACCAATCGGCAGTGCGAGACGTAGAACTCTTCGGCGTACCGCCTCGATCGAATCGTGAACAATCTTCGCAATGACTTGAGTTCCGAGCAAGTTCCGACTATATATAACGCAGTGCACGATGCTCAGGGGCTCTAGAACCAACCTGAATGGCTCTGTTCTGGACCACCCTAAAAAAACCGTGTTTGCTGGGGGATACGTATCATAAGGGTGGGGAAATACGAAGGATTTTGATTTTGACTTGCTGGCACTACTTCTCTATGCCATGAGTTTTCGATTGCTTTTCAACACTATTAGGATAGAGCCTGCACTTACATGACTTATGATTGTACACGTCGGATTTCATATGCTGAGACTGTGCTTTTCCGCCACATTTCCTTTATGGCGCAATGTCGATCCTGGGTAGAGTCAATTAATCTGTGTTAATGTATGACACTTTACAGTGAATCGAGACTGCCCTTGTGAACACAGAATAAAGGCCAGAGAAGATTATTTAGGACAGAAAGTCAACCAGTTGAATAGCAACTTTCAAGTCAAGACAGTGGATGATTGCCCTTTTTAGCACGGAAACCTAAAAAAAAGCAATTTGAATACGAATGTGTACGAAGTGTCAATGTTCTGTTCTGCACAGTACTCGGCAAGTGATCGGACTGTCCAGCTGGGACTCCTGGCAATGAATCCTCCTGTACTTGACTCTATGCATTCTAATGTCACAGTGTCACATCTTAGCATCGTCCATGTACTGTGGACAGACAGCTTGGAGTAAGTAGAGAATTGCAAGCTGCCCGCGGTAATATCTGCACGGTCCGGTGGTGAGGGTGAATGACAAGATTACTCTCCCATGCTGACTCATTTTACCTATGTATATGAAGGAGTCAGTCATCACATGCATCACTGATACCGGTAATCGAGCATCACTTGAGTACATATGTAATTATCTGTCTTCAGCTCTCACCCCTTCTTCGCCCAACCAACCATGACCGTTTCGAAGGACCTCAATTTCTGTTTCCCGGTGCGGGAGTTATCGAATGAACGCGTCAAGATGACTCCCTTCGATGTAAGCCAATTCAAATCGTCAGATAACATCATATAATAATCAAGTTAATCTGACTGACTGGCCACAGGCATCAATTCATTCGTCTCCAATGTTTTCCGCCGTATCCGGTCACCTGGAGCTATGGGCACACATGCCTACGGGCCCATTCCAAACTGTGCAAGATTTTGATACCAATTTCCTCGAGGCCGTAGTCCATCGTGACCCAGGAATGGTATTATTTGCCATCATAGATAAAACAAAACAACCTTCGAATGTAGACGGAGATGGTGAATTGGCTGGGATGATGTCTTATACGGGCTCTTCTTCTGTGAACCTAAGCACAGAAATAGGATTCATTATCATCCTTCCCTCATATCAAAGGACGCATGTCAATTCCAATGCTGTTGGGCTTCTTTTGCAGTACGCACTGGAAGTGCCATCGCAGGGCGGTTTGGGGTTGCGACGGGTTCAGTGGCAATGCAGTTCCATGAACGCCCCTTCTATTCGTGCTGCCGAGAGGCTGGGCTTCAAGAAGGAGGGAATTATGAAATGGCATCGTGTGTTTCATGGAGGCAAGGAGAAAGGCAAAGTACATAGTGGTCGTGAGCTGCCCCGGGGCGGTGAACAAGACTATGGAAGGGATACCGTTGTTCTCAGTCATTGTTGGGATGATTGGGAGCAAGGAGGGAGAGAGAAGATACAAGCAATAATGGACAGACAACATGTAAGTTACTGGGCTTTCTCAACGCTACGCCCTTTCGATGACTACACGCGCTCATGAATTGATCTAGTGACGCCCTCATTATTTACCTGGCATCGCGGACGATAGACCCGAGAGTTACATTGCATCCCTGGATATGGATAAATACCATGGGCTGGGATCAACATGTGAGTTGAAAAATCACAGCAATCTTTTTAGTTCCGATTCATGTCCATTGTGGTGTACCAAGTACCCTGTAAGGAAATGTCTAGTCTACGGTAAAAGCGTTGGCAGTTGTAATAATATTAGTGTCGTGTTGTCGGTAGCTTCTGATAGCGGTCGGAGTCTCTGATGAGAAAGAGTAGCGACGCAGCCGCGATCACGACCGCCTGCGATCAACACGTTGAATAGATATACGTTGTGCAGTGATCTGCAAGGAAAGCTTACCCCATGGGTATAGAACACCAGCATCGGTTGACTTGAGATTGTGCTGCATTAAGTAATGAAATAAGGAGACAGGGTAGGATAGAAAACCAATCGACTCACGCAGTAAAAATGCCGCCCATGACAAGAGGAGAGAGGAAGGCTCCAATGCTTGACATCATTTCGATAGCAGCTAGTACCTCTCCTATCCAACGCGAACTATGAGTTGTCAATCGGATGTTCGCAGCTTCAAAATACGTACCTTGTTTTAAGGGGTCGACTGATGACACAACGAGACTTCGAACGATGGGACCATGTGCTCCGCCGAGCCCGACAGCGGCCACGGCTTCACAAAACATCAATGTACATATCGCTGCCATTGAGCGTGGTCTCGCACCTATGAGATGTGAAACATGAGTCGTTGTTGCAGACGCCATTATATAGGCGACAGCATTGATGAACAAGGAGACGAAAACGATATGGATATCGAGAAGGTCTGTCGACATAGATAGGGCAGTGTCATCGCTAGGGTCCTGTTGGTCTTCAGGGAGAGTAACCTCCCTGGCGTAAATCGGACGCAATACGCGAATCAGCGAGGGTATCGCGTATGTAAGAGAGAATACAGCGCTCAAGCTCAGTGTTGTTAACACGATTCCGGTCTAAATTAGGCATAAGTGTAGAGCTCTGAGTGATCGATGTTCAGCCTACCTGAGCAGGACTGTAGTTGTATTTTGTTATGTACAACATTAAAAGGGCTGCCGGCGTATACACGTCCGCAAGCGTCGTGATCATGATATGAATTGCACAACACAATACTCGTAAGTTCTGACTGCCACCTGCCTTGCGGGCAGGAACAAGTTGTTTCAAAGGTTCGAACGCAATGGCTATCGTAGATATGAGGCGGCTCGATAATTTTTGATGAGCACTTGCTTGCTGAGCGGAGCGCTGGCGACGCAGTTCATCGCGTTTCTCTTCAGGAAACGATTCGGGGAGGAAAGCTAAGACGTAGACGAATATTGCCCCGAGGAGGAAAATGGAGATGTAATACACAATTAGCGGATCATTGGTCTTGGTGGTGACAAATCCACCGATAGCAAAGGAGACTGTTTGGCCTTCACACACGTAGATTAATGGGGATTGTGTCAATACAGAGGATGGTGCTTACCTAGCACAGCCCATCCATTAATGGCACTCAAAATGGGTGTTCTTGAGCATCCGGTCAGTCCAAAGAGAACTGATTGCCACAGTCATACATTACCTGTCCTCAGCACCGGTGATATCAACGGTGTAGACGTTCACGATAAACGTCATAGTCAGCGTACCACTGAACATTTGCAGTAATAGAGAGACGATCAGAACACTTGCTTCTAGCCATTCAGACAGGTACTTGGAGCAGACCATAAGAGAATATCCCAAAAAGCTAATGGCAACTGTGCCAAGGATAACTGGTTTTCTTCCGAGTCTGGAGCTAATATGGTTAACCACACTGCATGCGACCATGGCTGTTGGACATTAGGATAGGCAGAAAAATCAGTAGCTTCCGCACCTCCAAGCCCTTGACTAATTAAAATGGCTGAAATGACTGTGGCGTATGTTTTATCCACCTCTGGAACTGCGCATAGTTCCTCAGATATCTCTCCGCCAGGTGGCAAGTTGCCATTTGAAATAAGCCACAATCGACAGATGACTGATTGGATAACCCCCAATAATGTCGTCGTGGGAAGTGTTGAAGTAAGTCGTGTCGCGACCGCTAGCGGAATTAGAAGTGTCAATGGGGAAAATTGGCGTCTACTGCTTGATGCGTCCTGCCGCTCTGGAAGGAGCGGGGCGCGCTCAGAGGGCAACTTGGCCGGCGATACATCTTGAATGCTTGACATGGGAGTTTAGACCAGCCCGTTTCGATATCTTCGAATTGAATCAGTAGTACTAGCCGCAGTGAGTCCGGTGGCTGAGCTAGGCAAGTCGATATTGTTACTGACTTTTGGTTTACGTTGAAACAACGTAACACGCATGCGACGTTGTACCCACGTCGCCCAACTTGAAGCGTATGCTGCGTATCCGCAGCACGTCGGCAACTAAGTATAGGTTTGCTCGTGTGAGATTTTAGACTTTTGGTGAAGGAAGAAATAAGCATTCCCACCGAGTCAAACTGCAAATCCGATGAAGAACCTGCAGGGCCACTTGCGGGAGACTTCCCCAAGTCTGCCTTGCTCTTATATTTCATCGAAACACATGTCAAAAGTTGTCGCGTCAAAGCCAGATTGGCAGTCGAGGTTTCCTAGTTGCGCTTTATATTTCATGTCCGACTCGGAGCTTCCTGCTACTCAGGACGCCATTATGATCAGGAGGTTGGGCTAGCGCTCACCAGTCATTTCGGACGAAGTTGCTGGAGAAGGCCAGGAACTGTTGACTTTTTTGAGTCTTGACAGGTATGTAATAGAAGATATCAGCATGCGATTTAACTCACTTTTGAGGCCTTGAGGCACAAGAAGCCACCACCACCATGGTGCAAGTTTTAGACGATTTAATCGACAGGCTCGTCGAGAGTCGAGATTGAAAATTGAAAATGCGTTGAACGAAGAACTATATTGTATGTACTTACGTACGTAGTACGTACACTGTACATAATAGCATAGACCCATGGAACCCGGGTTTCCCTCCAAAAAAGTCAAATTCGTGTGTTGACTGCATAGGTACACGCTAAAGTACGCGACGCTTAAATTATACCGCCCACACCACAGCAATTAATAAGATATCTTTGGTCTTGTCTACAACGATAATACTCAGTGGTCCAATTCAGAGTCCTGTCCAATGTCAATTCACTCGTCGGGTACCTGTAATATACTATTTGCACGAGAGAGCGTCTGCCTCGGAAACAGCGTCAAGTTCATATGCGATGAATTTCGCGAACGTGTGTTGATGGAAGAAATCGAAGACCTGCTGCTCGTCATTATCGTGTCGTCGGGAGCGGTGGCAGTTATAGGTGACGAAGCGCGAGAGTGAGAATGCGTTGTAGAAGTAGATGTGCTAAACCCGTCTGAAGCATTGTGATAGGGAGGAGGTGAGAGTGTTGAGGCTTGAGAGTGTCGAATCAATGGAGCATGAAGTGAGGTAAAGATGGGAGACAAACGCGGACGACGTGATGATGATGTCGAAGAAGAGACAAGGCGGCGCAGGGGTCGTAACAAGGATGGGGGTAGAAAAGAGGAATTCGAAGGCGACGGAGGACGTGGTGTCGCTATTCCTTCCTCCATCTCGTAGGCTCCATGCAAGTCACGTTTAAATGAGCCACGTAAGAGACGCCTCCGAACAACGCGTAATGGATGTCGTAGGCGAAAGACTATGCAGCTCACCACAACGATGACAATGACGTAGGAGAGTATAGTAATGGGTGAAAATCCCAAAGACTCGCGGGTCAAAGATGCCGGCAGGTGTGGGGAAACATGCTCTTCCAACAACTGATCGAAATCCCAGAACGGTCGAATGGGTTTGATAGGCGGGTTGGGTGTACTAGCAGGAATACCGTCTATAGGATCAGCCAGCGGCTTACTACTGCTTGAAGACGGTTTGATTTCCTTGCTTGCTTCTAACACCATTTTACCCAGTGTCCAGCTAATGGCGATGTCTCCGACGGAGTCGACAGATTGAAACACAGGTCTTCCCAAACCCTTCGCTTCAGCTTGGTGTGCCACTTGTTCCCCGATCGTGGTGGAGTTTCCTTCTGGGTCTACTATCCGAGGAATCCCAATTCCTTCATGTAGCACATTGGCTATCCAAGCGGCCTTGAAGCACTGCATCTGCAACCTCGGAAGCTCCACATTCTTGCCCCACTTCCCGACTTCCATGACCTCTCCGTTTTCCATGACTTCCCCATCACCGCCTTGTATACCTTGTGCTCTCAACAACTCGTGTTGGTTGACTATACCACTCCAATCCCTCTCACAGAACTGTGTCGCAGCACGCTCGTACTGCACATAATCATACGGGCCGCCAAGCCCGAAGACATGTTCGGATGAATACCAGTATTCGGAAACACCAATGAAATGGGAGGAAGCAAAGTTGATCGTAGGGACATGCACTCCATCGAAAAGGCATGGAGCAGTATTGCATGGCGCGTTTTTGTTGAGGAGGGAAGCAGTACGATCCAGACACTGGGTAAAAGAGCCCGTCCCAGTAAGTTGATGTGTTGAATGTGACCCATCAATCTGAGGAAATGTCTCCGAAAGTATCAGATCCTTTGGGAGGCACGGGTCAGGTATGAGTAGCGATTCTGAGGTCTCGAGCGAAGTCTCTTTGAAATGCTCGACGGTCTTCGCGACATATCGCTCTCGTGCCTGATTGGTACCATAGCCCAACCATGTAGTGACAAATACTGAGTGGTTGACTTCGTCTCCGCCAAGTAGTCGTAACCGGACGTCAACCAGGTTCTCCTTGTCTCCCGAAAGCGTGTCAGATGGCTCAAAGGCTATCTGGGTCGAAGCGCCTCCCATGTCCAGAAAGCCATAGGTCGTCTTCTTATCCTTTCCGTAAAACCCATCCATGAGATAGTTCACTGCTATCCATCCATACAAGCCTTCCTCCTCGCCGGTGATAATTCGCACACTGGACCCACACGGACCGTCTTTCGATTCGTCGTCTATCCGGAAGCTCGAGGCGCTTTTGAGGTACTTACACGTAGCATTAAGCACGCGCGCTTGCTGCACCGGTGTCAAAAGGCGCATACCGGCAGTAGCGAGGAGGAAAATGGGAGTTTCAGATTCGAAGGAAGGAGGTATTTGAGAGCGCGCGTGCTCAAGTAGAGGTGCAAGGTATTCGTGTACGCCCTCTGGGTTGTCTGCGAATGTAGAAAGGCCTACATGACAGGGCCAGTTGAATGACACAAGCAGAATATCAGACGTGTACATACCTGGTTCAGCCTTCATTATCCAATCATCTCCTTCCTGGACACCCTTCTCTACCTTGGGCAATTTATCCCATACATCTTCTCCCTGCTCGCTAAGCACGACATCGGGATCCTCCCAGCTATATATCTGAAGTCTTGAACCCGACGAGCCAGCGTCAATGACTATTCCAAAACGGCGCGCAGTAAGCCAAGAATCAAAGGATATCGTAGGTGGCATAGACCAGGGCCCAGCGGTATAGCAATCGATGCTCCACTTGACAAGGACGTACAGGACCGTAGTACAACAGTAAGGATATTTGGAAGTGGATGTAAATGATGAGGTACAATTTGACCTCAGCGGCCCAGCCACCACGCGGAAACCAGCTTCCCGAAGTTGTCCCGAAGCTGACGTTCACGATCAATCTGGCTAACTGGAAACTCGTGGCAGTAATAATTACTTTCATACTGATTGATCGCGCGCGAGTGACCTGCCAGTAGTTCTTTCGACTTGAATTATAATCTTTGTTCTCAGAGTCTGACTACATGAGGTATGGAAGATGGTGTATCGTAGCTACGCAATATTAACATCGGTTACTGTACCTTTCCAGTTCATATACTGGACTGCTACATATGTGCATGCCGACCTGAGGAAAGCAAAAAAGTCAAGGCATCCTTGAATCAAGTAAACAGATCTCGTATCAACACAGAATACTATGTCAAACATACGTTCCAGACGAGCTTAACCAAGACGTTCCTTGAAGTTCCTTATCGCGGGACAGTAGTCTTGCGAGGCCGCGAACGCGTCCCACCCTTTGACATGCCTCCCTCATCCTTCGCCCTACCTTTAGCCTTCATATCCACGCTCCACAACCGCGCCTGTGCCTCCCTCAGGCGCAGTAAGTCAAACACCCAGTCTGTCTCCTGGGCCTTCGCTGAACCGCGCTCATGCAGTCTTTCTTCCTCTGAGTGAGTGAGCAGAGCAGCTGTAGTGCGCTCACCCGACCGCCACAGGAGTAGCTGCTGGATTGCCTCGGGAAGAAGAATGTTCACGCAGTACTGTGGGTGAACAGTGTTTTAATCAGTGAAAATAGTTATCACAGAACATATGACGCACATCAAGTTTATCAAGGGTCGATAATGATTCATATTCCTGTGAGCCAACTGGCCGTTGTAGGTTCTGTGCAGGCACAGGGCTTTCAACCTGTAGAAATGATGAATGACCCCGGGTGGCGGGTGCGATATTGCTAGCCTACCTCCCCAGCGTGCGGCAAGTTAGAGTGACCGCTAGAATCCGGCTGCAATCAAAGATAAACATCTGGTTTGGGGAACTTGGGAGACTGCGATAGATCTTACCTGCTCTGCAATGACCTCCTTTGGCGCAGGAGGTTGATTGTGCAATGGTACAGAAGGCAGATCAATCGTCTTCGGCTCTGAGGAATCGCCAACCTATGCAAAAAGACACCATCAACACAAAAAACGCAAAGGCAAAATGTAAAGAACCGACCTGGCTATGCTTGTCAATCGTTATGACATCGTCATCAATCTTATTGCCAGTGCCGCTGGGAGGTATGGGCTGAGACAGTACATCGTAACTCGCGCTGTCTGAAGTTGCGGGTATAGTGTCTGGCGACTTGTCAAGTGGCATTGTATTGGGGTCCTCGACTTGATTGCCATTGTCACTGGGAGGTATTGGCTGAGAAATGTCATGGTGGCCCACGGCGTCGGAGGCTGCAGATGTCTCATCCGTTGCTCCAGAATCGGGGTTATCAACTGCCATTGCCTCGGTGTCCTGATTGCCAATGTCACTGGGAGGTATGGGCTGAGAAATGTCGTGGGCCACGCTGTCGGAAGTTGCAGCTGTCTCACTTCCGACAGCAGTGTCTGCCAACCCATCGCCATCGGTTGCCAAAGTAGTTTGGCAGAGTGTGCTATCTTGCTCCGGGGGTGGCGCCACCTCTGCTTCAGGTTTGAATTTTAAATTGGTTCTACGGGCGTATCCTTCTCCAAGTGCCCACCGCGTAATCAGTTTTTGCGATTGTTTTACCTCGTTCGGGTCCAAACCTCCTCTCGCCGCCGCCCGCTTCATTAAACTGGATCTAGCAGCACCTCCCCGCATGAAAGCCTCATGGCTCTTGCTTGCCGGGGTGTACTTCCCTTGTAGGATGGCATTTAGCACGGGCTTCACGTACGCCAGTTGCGCATACATCGACAAATTAGTGAAAGCATCTGCGCTAGGAGGTGGGTCGGTCAACTTTGGACTAGGGCTCCGCCTCCTGTCTTCCGGTTCATCTTCCGAGTCCGGAGCCTCGGTGTCTTGGACGGCGCTTTCGAACTCGCCCAAGTCGCACGTAACAAAGCCTTCTTCCTCAGAGGTCCAAAATTTATCCCGGGTGAGGTTGTATTCCCGTTCATCCAGAAATTTGGCCCGGTAGCGTTCCTTCCCGCCTGGCTTGGTTGGTGGAACGTATGCTATAAGCTGAGCGGGCCAGAATTTGTTACTTCTCGTTCGTAGTGCCTGTGCCAGAACAAGCTCGCCTGGGATTTGGAGCATGGGATCCGGAGGCGGAGGAGACCAAGCGCGGTCTGTAGGAGGCTCAGGCTCAACACGAGGTGAAATCTTAGCCTTCTTGGCTGAACGTAGGTCCTCTACATCGTCTTCTTCTGAAGAAAACGTCCCGCCAGTGTACGCGGAAATCATCTCGGGCATGCCATCACGCTTGAGTCCATCTGCATCCTCCATAGCTTTCACTGCTGCCTCCCATCTCTCGCTTGTGTCCTTCTTGGTTTTCTTGTGAGGGGAAGGGTTTGAGGATCCAGATGTGGTGAGAGGCGAGACCTGGAAAGTTGCTCTGGAGAAACGCTTTTCGCCAGATAGGTCATGAATGGGCTGGATGTTATATTCGGATGGATACAGAATTGTCGAAGGTTCTCGAGATAATGCCAGCTCGCCAAAGAGGGTCACGCGGAGTGGTTGTTTTTGGACGATCTGGTCATTTGATTGAGTGAATTGAGATATTTCAGCATGTCAGGGAAAGCTCACCCTAGCGGGCCACCACATGCGTTCGTCCAGAATCTCAATCTCATCGTCATCATGTGGGACCGAGGTAATAATGACTCCTAAGTCATTCACCAGTACCCAGACTAGAGTATCGACGTCGCCGAAACCATGTCCACTAGTCCGGTCAGACTTTGCCTTGTTTACCTTCCTTTTTCTTGGGGAAGTTTGGCTCCGGGGCTGTGAGAAGCTGGAGCTGGATACTCTGAGAGAGCGCATGGAGCCGCTCCCAACCATACTAAGCTTCTGAGGTGGTGGGGTGGAATGACTGATTATAGAGAGTGGGGGAAGATCCGTGGTAGAAATAAACGGACTTGTAGGGACGCTCGAGAACGGTGAAGGCGACAGGGTTGTAAGAGTGCTGACTGTGCCTTCCCTATCCGAACCAGAAGCCGGGGCCTTGCGTTTCTTCGAACGCGCGGATGGTTGGGAGCGTGAGGGTGTTGCAGGCTTGGGTTTAGCCTTGGGCTTTGGTTTGGGCTGGCGCTTGGGGGATGGCGACGGGTTGTCTGTCTGCTTTAGCGGCGAAGCGCGGAATTTGCCCTTGGCGTTATAGCGGTATTTCACATTAGGCTGCCTGCGTGATGCAGGCTCCCCAAATGAGTCTGAGGGCTCGGGCTCATCATCAGAATGGCTTGGGGAATCGAGCTGGTTTGCGAATACAGCGGAAGCCCGACTTGCTGCTTTACGGGTCGGGAGGATGCGCTCAGATAGCATCGGAGAAGTGCTGGTGGTTGCCATACGGTCAGGAAGGCCGCCGTTCAACGACGTGCAGTGCCAAGAGGACTGCGGACTGTTGGATTCAGTCAGACACGACAACTGCACAGTAAAATGCACCTACAACTGATATTCGTCTTCCGGTCCTATGGCAGATGCAGTAACCCTTAAAATTACTGTCAGGACTCATCAGCAGACTCTGTCAGCCTTTCTCGCACTTTTGATGCCCAGGCGCGTTCTGTCACGCGGGTTGTACCCATGTCACGTCACACGATACTTCCTCCTATCATTCGTGCACGTCATGAATATACTTAATATATTTTGAGTAACTCTGGCAGGCCTCTTTAAAACGCCGTCTTCTAGAATCCTTATCAAACGCAGTTCATCGAACGTTGACTCAATTTGGCTTTCGAAAAAGCCTCTCTCAGGCTCCTACTCACGCATGTGCACCTCAAATCTGTCACGCATTGAAACTGGATGTCGGTAATATAATAACACTTCCCCTGCTTACAGATGGATGATGTGGCAATGTCGGGACCCTGGTCGGTTCAAGTTGACAGCGGTCATGTTATTTATTTGGTAAAAGAATATCAATCGAATTCTCACTTCAAGCACTAATCCTAAACCACGAGAGTCTGGAACGAAATAGAACATTCCACGTAGGGCTGGACTTCCGCATGAAGACGTGCCCAATGTTCAGACAGGCCTATCAACAAAGCGCAGATTGCCAGGATGCCGCTCGAAGGCAAACGTAAGAATACACGGTCAATCACATCGTCCGAGCCTTATGTATCTTCACATCTTCTCTTGGCCTAACAAGCGATCAAGCATCTCTGAAAATCCTGACGCACGACGACTTACCGATCCTGAGCATCAACCGCAACAGCACCTAATCTCTGCACGACACGCATGCCTGAACTCACCCGGCCGAAAATGGTGTGTTTACCATCCAGGTAGGGTGTGGGCGCCAACGAAATGAAGAACTGAGATCCTAGAAGCGGGTCGTTATATTCTAAGCAGTGGATAATATAAAAAGCGGCAATCTAACCGTTTGTATTGGGCCCCGAGTTCGCCATTGCGAGGATTCCTGCACCCGTAAAGCGCAGTTCTGGATGTATCTCATCCTCGCTGTGCCCATGTCATAAGCTCATGTTTGGGAGAAATATTTACGATGGACGTACAATTTCTGCCCGTAAATGCTCGTTCCACCTCGACCGGTTCCAGTTGGATCACCACCTTGAATCATAAAATCCTGCAAGTGCGATCGATCATGAATACAGACGTTTGCCGTAGAACAAAACCTCAACTGACCGCGATAATTCGATGAAACACGACGCCGTTGTAATAGCCGCGTTTTGCAAGCTCGGCAAAGTTCTGACACGTCTAGAATGAAATGTCTTGATCAGTTCAGTCAAAGTAAAGAAGGCGCAAAACGAATAAACTCACCCGAGGGGCATGGTTCCAGTATAATTCAAGCTGAATATCTCCAAGACTGGTCTCGAGAACAACTGAATCCATCGTGGTACTTTTGAAGAATAAGAGATAAACAAAGGCAATCAAAGTTCGTTGAGGGTAACTGCAGCTGCATTTTCATGATTACAAGCTCAGAAAGCACGATCAAGTCAATTCCAATTGTACCGTAACTTGCATGAGGTTTACATCCTCCTGATTCCAAGAAAAAAGAGTAATAAATATTGAGACCCGTAGGTCTACCACTCCGGGAAAGCGTGTCATCCTTGTGCAGGGGCCATGCTAATCTTCTCTGTATCGTTCCAATTTTTCGTATGTCACCCCGAAGGGGACAAACATGGATGGAGGCATAAGGTAGAGCTTAGCACAATTTTGTTTTTGTTTTGGATGACGGGTTTTCCGCCATAACGGGCAATCGAGAAACCGGCCCCCAAATTTGGATTCACCGACTGGAATATTTCACACTGGCGTAGTTTCGTCTTTCGCAGGTCGACTAGGTTGTTGAAGCATATATAAAAGCTATGACGCTAAAACACTCAAATTTATTAGAGAACTCGATATTCAATTTTAAACGATGCTGAAAGATAGCGAAAATACACAACGAAAACAAACAGTCCCGACAACACGAGGAGCGACTAGCTAACTCCGAGTCCGTATTACTCCTTCGGTACTCAAGATGAAGCATTTCAAACCATGGATGTCCTTTGTTGCGAATGTTTCCGAGACTTGACTGGGAGAGTTGACGAGTGACGAACTGCGACTCTCGAGAGGTCTGGAGATAGGTGAAGTGGACCCGGGGGAAGTGTCTGTGGGACAGAGGGGAATTCATCAAAGATTTCCTTCTCAAGAATACTGGGAGCAGGAGAAGATGACGAGTCCCGTGAGACCATCCAGTGCGATGGACGAGAGCCGGGCAATTCACTGGCTTGGCGACCTGGAGAGCTTTTGGTTGGGGATAGGGCCGGGGGCTGGGACAATTTAAACGACCTTTTCGGCGAGTTATATATCGAGCCTTGGTCTTGAGGGACGGCATACAATAATTTAGTCGATGCGAAGGTCTTCTTCTGAGCAGCTCACACACCTGTGTCCACTATGCTGACGTTCGACTTGGTTCTGTTGCGGTTGAACAATTTGTCCGCAAACGAGCTAGACTTTCCCGCACCGCCTTTCTTCGTAGAAACGACTGGCCATGTGATACCAAAGCCTGATCCATCTCCATGATCAGATGGTGTAGCGACCGGGGCGGAGTCCTCAGAGCATGTTGAAATACTATCCCGAGGGTACGCCCCGGGCATGTAGTTCGACGAACGACGACTAGTCAATCGCCTAATGCTCGAGAGATATCTCTTGTGTGAGGGTGACCGTTGTGACGTAGATGTAGAAGCTAGACTCCTCCCATCACCCTCATCCTCCTCGGGGATGTCCCCATCCATGTTGGGTTCTCGGATGGATGGGATAGATATAGAACGCTCTGAAAGCGATGCGGTCTCCGTGGATGGAGCTTTGACGTGTTCTGTGAGTGTTGAGGAAGATACGGGCCGGATGTCGGTTGCGAAAGTGTCAACGGTTGGGGTTTTGGAAAGCGCGGCGTCTACAAGCTCTGAACCATCACCCTCAGTCAGTTTCATCTCAAGCAATGCTGCTTCTTCTAGCAGGATGGCGAGTTCTCCATAGCCCGAGCCCAAAAGCGGCTCGGCAGTAATAGTGATCCCCGTCCGCCGCACTCGCGCAACTTGTGGTGTCATTGATGTGGAAAGGGATGAAGTCGGTGCGGTGGCAGCGGCCATTTCAGTGACCTTGTGATGCACTACAGCCGTGAAGGAGCGCTTTACTTCAGGCTTGGCAGTCTCTAAATCAGGTGATGGGGGGCTGGGTTGTACCTGGATCCGTGGATGGGGAGGTATGATGAGAGAGATGGTCCCACATTCCTCAGTAGGAGGGGATTCAGATGCCAGTAATGATGTGGCTACGTCATCACGCTTCTTGTTATTGACATCACCGGATCCCGAGGTAATGGTAGATGTAAGAGGGTGGGTCAATACTGAGTCGTCTTCGGTAACCGTATTGGGGGCGACGAGTGAATGCGAAATAGTTGAAGACGAGTCAGGAAGGGCAGCTTCCGAAGGCTGAGCATCGGTCATGGACACATCTACCGACAGTGGGTGATGACATGCTGATTGAGGCTTCTCATCCGAAGGAGGATCAATAGTCTGATCAGGCTCAACAACGGAAGTCACCTTCACGACAGTTACAACTTCTGGCGAGGACTGAGACGACGCAACAACATCCAATGCCATCGCAGGCACTGGATTAGAGTCAGCCTGCAAGCCAAGCCCTAGTACCGCTGGCTCTTGCCCTGCCTGTGATAGTGCATTCATATCTTGGGGAAGTACGTCATCTGATGAGGTGACAGGTTCAAGGGTCTGGGATGGGGCTATAATTCCAGCAGGGTCTCTTACTCCCAACGAAGGAGAAGTAGACAGAGAAGGTGATGGTGATGGTGAAGGTGAAGGGGATTCTAGGTCTTGATCTACATGTTGAGACACCTCCCCAAAGCTAACGACACGTTGAGTAGGACCAAAATCGACTGCGAGGGAGTTGCGACGAGCAAAAGGAAGGATTGGCGACGGTGTGGACGGAAGCGGCGGGATAGGTTCCCCCGTTGCAAATCTCGGAGGAGTGCCTTTCAAGAGTGTACCCCCGGTAGAGACACAACGTTTTCTTGGCAAAGGTAAGTCGTCCGCTGGGGGCAGAGGTGAACCAGAGCGACTTGACGGCGAGCCGCCCGGTCTCCCCATGTTTTGCACTCGATTCCCATACAACTCTCCACGCTTCTTTGCTGGTGCGTTTTCTGCCAACTGAGGTGCACCCATACCGAAGCTGCCTCGTGGAACTGGGATGCCTCCCTTCTCCTCAAATTTGGCGATTTTGTCGCGCAAACATCCGGTTCCACTACTCGGGAGGTTCTTTGAAGCGAATTGAGACATTTGCTGTTGACTTGGGGACACGTTTCGCTGCTGGAGGGCAGCAATACGTTCCTTTAAATTGACTGGAGGAGGGTACGTGCGCGAGGTCGCCCTATAGTCCCATGGTTAGCATACACAGATATACCAGAAGTTGTCCACGTACATCGACCGGGTAAACTATATTGAAATTTGAAACGAAAGGGTAGTTTCAGTGATGGTGTGTTGCAACGTTGTAACCACGAAATCAAATGGACGAGGATTCCACACAAGAACAGGCGCCAGTTTGAGCTTCGTAGATCTCCAAATACCAATGGGATTACCACTAACGAAGTTCAAATGACTGAGAAATATTAATGTTCAACGACTGGCTAGCAACGGTTGTGCGTGAAGTCAAGATTAAATTGAGTGGTCATCTGATCATCAAAGATGTCGACGTTCTTCATCCTCCAAATACTTGGTCAACTTTGTCTACTTCAAGCTTATTCGGCTCCGACCCGTAACCTTGCTATGTAGATAGTTCTATTTCCCAAGTTCTGTAATATGCCATCAGCTGCTGTCATCAGCGCTGTTGACCCCAGTCCCCTTGGAGAGCCAAAATGATCTGCGTCTGCTCATCCTACTTCGCGTTTCATCACCGGAGGCCTCGTCATATATACCCATCTTATAGTACGCTTCTTCCTCATCTACTGAATCATCTTCGTCGGCGGTAAATTCGGGTTGCTCGTCTGACTGACTAGCTTCATGCCTTTGTACAGTGCGCCGCTTTTCGATATGGTATTTACCGAGTTCGTCGTTATCTTGACGGGAACCGCTGGGTTCCTGCGGTAGCGACTCATCGTCGGTTTCGAGCAACATATCCACGCTACGCTCCCGGGTCCCTGTGCGTGTGGTGCTGCCTGCAGTCATTGACGACTTGCCCTGAGCAGGAGTTTCGAGGACGTCAGCGACAACTATACGGGGTTTGGGAGAAGTTCCGAGCAGCTTATGGAGCAACCCCTGGTCATAAACTTCTTGGATTAATAATCGGTTGTTCAATGTCTGTTGCGATGTTTAACATACGTTGAGAGTATAAAGGGAACTATACCTCTTGGGTGACGCCAAGTATACTGGACAAAATGCTCATATCCTCTGGTTCTCCGTGTCCACGTAAAGGGTACGTCCGCCCTTCCCTGCGTGCACTCAACATCCCAGCCCGCAAGAAGGCAATTGATGTCATGATTCCGTGGGCTCCTGAAAGAGTCTGCCGAACTCTCGCAATTCCGTAAGAGCCTTTGGAAATATCATTCGCTGGCGGTAAAGGGAGCAATGGTGAACCATCTGTCAATTTTTTTAAAAGATTTAGCTCACAAGAATCGGTAGGGTCCTCAATGGACAAGAGGTTCCTCTTTGTGAAATCGTACCATCCTCTCTGTCTCTTGCTAAAATATGAGCCACCGTTACGCACGGAGATTCCTACTTCCTCGTAGTTGAAATAGCAACCATAGAGCTCGAAGAACTCCATAACCAAAACTCCAAGATTCTTCTCTGCGTCTATCTCCCCTCTGCGAATCTTGGGATGCATCTGGAGGAAGCTGACTGCTAGACAGACAATACTGTAGCTGCCCAGACCGCCGGTATACACTTCGTTCATCGACCGCTGATTTAGAAATGCTTTCGCGATGATGATCAGACTCCGGAGTGCAAACCCACACCCGCGCATGCCGTTAAGAAAGCCGTTCACGATATCGCCAGCGACGACGCCATTACCCTGATTTATGCTGATATCAACGTTTAACCTGCCATAAATCGTGACGAATTTGATGATGGGCACTTTGGCTTTGGCAATGAGGGTAACTTTGGAAGCGATCCGCGCGCGTTTGATAACATTGGCGAGGGTCCGTAGGACATTCACTTTATCACTGTAGGCCATCGAATCTGATTTGATCACGAGATCTATGTCCCTGCGCAACTCTTAGCATTGACTCCAACGTGACACATAATGTTTACCCATTAGGGAGGTATAGTTTGGTTTCATAGCTTCCAAAGGGTAGTATCCGGGCATCTGGGAACGCATTCGTGATAGCATTCGAAACAAGAGTGATTACAAGTCCTCGAATTTCCTCCTCGACTTCAGTTGGTGACATGTAACGAACGAATGCCTCAACCTCACGATGCAACCTGTGTCAAATCAGCTCACAACGTCAAGGAAATTTACAAAACGTACATCTCTGCAACATTGCGACAGCCGTCCCAGTCGACTTTGGCAAGCCAAGGAGCCTTTCTTGAAGGGGACGGAAAGTCCTGTCTGCGTTTTCTGTAGTCCCGCAAATCTTCATCATCAAAGACCATTTCGTACGTTCGTTTTGTTCCACGACCACCTCCATCGCGCGAGCCATCCCCATGCGTTTCTCGTGGTGCTTCTGCTTCATTATCACTGACCGCAAACGGTATGAATTCGTCGCCGATCTCGAACGATCTACTTGAGTCATTGGGTAGCTCGCCTAGCTCAAGTTCGGAATCCTTTTCTTTGCCTTTGCCATTGGTTCTTGCGCGTTTTAAACGTGACTCCTTTGGTGTCCTATCGTAATCGTGTTCATTAGTCGTTTCTTTTACTTCTCCCCTCTCGTCCCTCTGTTCTTTTGCTCGTTTACGTCGATGACTCCGGGGCGCTTGAGATTTTTGCCGTGGCTGAGAAACCGTGTCCGACATTGTCAGAACAAAGGGTGTTTGTTTGGATCAGAAGCTGTTGCCAAACAAACGCTCTGTGAACGTCCCTGAAATGAACAAGTACATATTGTTCACAACCGTCGACATAGCATAGCATATATAGCATTTGTACAAGTAATAACTCGAATCCAAGGAAGCAGGTCCAACTAATTGTATCAAGTGAACTTCACCCTCTTCAAACGGGTCCTTACGTGCATGTCCTCTTTTCCATCATCCTCAGGCCCAAAATGGGCATCACTTTCCGCAAAATAATAAACCCCGGTGCTAATCTCTTGCACATCCTTCCCGTGTCCAGTCCAACCATACTCAGGAATTGATGCCATACTCTTTGATTTGGCCTCCTCTGATACACCCTTCGTGGCTGCAGTGGACTTCACGCAAACCAGTGACTCAGCTCCTACTGGGAATTCATTGAAATCCAGGTCCAAGTGAACCATTCCAATAATATTGAGGAACCCCTCTGCTATTTGAAGAAGTTCCTGATTTCTGGAGCTGGCTATCCATTCTTCATGAGCGCGCACGTCATCCCATCCAGTGATGAGGTGGATCTCAGCAGACTCTGCCGGATTTGTGAAGAAGGTTAACGAATAACCCGACGAGGATGATTGCCAGGAAGAAACCTTGGAGAAGAAATCTACTACATGCGGGTCGGAGAGTGTATTAGGGGGGATCAACGAGAGGGATGCGAATTCTGTGATTGGCATATTGATCTGTCCGATTGTCACTGAACCACAATTGAGACTGGTGGGCGCTGAAGCAACGAATCAAAACTATTTGATACCGTTTGCTGTGCGTTTAAATACGCTGGACCCGTCAGCGCCTTCATAGTACTGTTACGTCGGTCGCAATGAGCTTGCGTCATTCACAGCCCCCGACCGCCCCGACATAGCCGAAAACGGCCGAGAGCGCTCTCAATCGAACATTGTGTATATGTTGAAAACCATAAAAGTGGTAAAAATGCTTCGAGTTTAAGTGAGGCCCCAGGATCTGGGTGGAAGGGTACCCACTAATAGCGGTGGATATCGCCTTTGCAGACCATTAAGCCAGCTACGAAACCACACCATTAGAATCACTTGGAAGCTTTGGACCGATTTACAAGTAGCTCAACACGAGCGTACCACCCACAAGCCGGTAAGTGTGAGTGAGAGGGCCATTCTTGTAAGCTTTGCAGTACCCAATGACGTTCACGAAACCGAAAGTCTGCCACTCGTCAAGGACATCGTAGATGGGCCGAGTGTCAACCACAGTGAAGACGGGTGCACTGTCGATAAGTGGCAGTGAGGAACAAGAACGATCGAGCGCCCTTTGAGTACAGATCCTCAACCCGATGTAATAATGTTAATAGCATATCGAACGCTCCCGGTACAATCTCCACCACCTGGGAAAACAGACTGTAAGCGAGTCTCGTAAAATTTGATTTGAGTTATGTTCGTCTGGATGCAAATAGATCAGCGATAAAGACTCCCGTCACAGGCATGATGAGAATGACCCACATAGCCGAAAAATCTCGTCTGCATGTTCATATTTGAGCATCCAAAATACATGGAATTGTGCGGAACATGCGTACAACGTTGTTTATACCAATCAAACAGGCGAACAGACTGTTTGTGCTGTTACATGCAGCGCCAGCCTGAGCAGGCCTGGTACTTGTTGAAGTGAGTCACCTGATCAACCACAGAGCTGCACAAACAATGAAACATGACTCACACTAAAACCGAAGCAAAAGAGTCTGGACATACAGCACAGTGGGTAATGGAGGTGGAACAAGGACTACATCGATCCTGAGCCCACCGGACGCCAAGTCAAAGGTCTGGATTGATAGATCAGCACGTAAGTCAGACAAGTGGGCCATCCGATGTAGTCTGTCGATATGAAATCAGTCCAAGAAATCGTCAAAACATAGTGCTAACGTGAATACTTGCAAATAAACTGGCTAGTCGATACCAGTAGATCTACGACGTTGTATCCATTGGTGGCGTACGAGTCTCCGAATATAAACATGTACTCGGTCACGTTCCAGGAAATGGCTGACGCAACAGAGCATGACCAGAGTGAACCAATACTGGCGGCAGCTTAGTAGGGTGCGTGCCACGACCATCTGCAGAAAAACTTGTCATGATGACTTCAGCTTTGTCATGTAAGATCCCCCAGCGATTATATTGGGGGTCGGAAAAGATGATACGATGAAAGAACTCGTATACGAAGACCGAGATTAATCAAGGTCGTGCTGGTGACCGTATGGGCTGAATGTAAGACTGATTGTGGCTCACGATTACGCATGTCAATGGCAGTCCAATTCTTCAATCGCCAGAAGCATCATTCATAAGACTTTGACTACATAGAGCTGCAAGCATCTTCAAGATGTCGAATTTTCAGCAGATACAACATAAGAACATAGAGGGGACGAAGCACAGCACAAGAATAACTTGAAGGGTCACTGGGGAGAGGATACAGATTGCTCGTGCCAGAGTTTCCTCGTCTTGAGGCGAAGATTCAGAAAGACTAGTGAGAAGTCTAAAATGTTCGCTCACATTAAACTACTTAGTGTGTCAGTTGCACGATAGAGGCATAGATGCGTTCTCTTTGCATCTTCTCTTTAACAATGCGAGCCAGACATGTGTCCTCATTGCGACCCGCAGCGCGAATGACTTCCTTATCTTGATCTGTCATGTCAGTGCGTAAATACAACTGATTCTCCTTATCTGCCCGAATATGCATGTTGAGAGACCTATGCAACGAAGGGGCATTGGTAGAATTCAGAAAATAAGAACAGAGAACCTACTCTAGACATGCCATAGCAGTCATGGGTTCCGTGAATTCAGCACCCGTGATAGCAGAGACACGTAAGAAAGGTTCCCGTTCCTTTGCGATGTCAAGGACAATACGTGGGAAGTGAAACTCAGCGGTTGCTGAATTCCCCGAGTCCTCTGTGCAGTTAACATCGATGAAATCCACGAGTCCAACAGGATCTTTGGCGAAACCCTCTGCGTCATGCCTTGCCCGAGCCTCACGCCATATGTTTAGCCGCTCTGGCGTAAGTTCCCACGGTGTCATGGCATTGACCTGCACCATCCCTTGAAGCTTCTCCCCAGGAGATTTGTTGTTGAGATACAATTCAATGAAGTTTAAGATATTACTCGGCTCAATGGCAATATCAACGCGCACCCCGAACGGCACGTCGAATCCGATTCGGGGATTCTCAATCAGGCCACAGTCGATGACGATACTAACTTTGAGGAGCCCCATGAGTATCGGATTCAAAATGAACATTCGTATGAATTTGAGGGCTCCCGAGGAGCGTTCGACATCGTGGCATCTCGGTTTGTGGGTAGGCCTATCATGACGTGTGAGTCAAGTCCAATGTCAGCGTCAATTGGCATAGGCAGCATTCTCACCAATTTTTCCTTTGGCACTGCACAGTGCACACGGTATCAGCACTTCAGACATTTGTGTCGTTCCAGTTGCAAATCCTACCTCTTTTGAGCAATACCAGACGCTCTTACACTAAAAAATATTTGCGACAGTGAGGAAAGCCTGTAATATCATTTGGATATTTGACTGTCACCTTTGCGCATTTCAAGGGTTTCTCCAACGACATTTGACACTGCGAACATCGTACACGAAACATTTTCTGGTTCGCTTTGAGGAATTTGCTGGACACCGCTATGGCACGGAACTGATTGTCCCTGTCGGGATGAGTCGCATGATGAACGACGACGACTCTGTCTGTGGAAGTTGCGGAGGAGTTGTTCATGCCGGTACTCATCATGTTCTGGCAAAGGCAGTAGGAGATGAATTTGGTGGTGAGTTGAGCGGACTTTGCAAGAAATACATAAAATGTCTGCAACCTGATCCGAAGAAGGTCACCATGATCACGTACGGGCGTAGTTGGTCCTTGCCGCGGCGTGACACATTCCAGATTGTTGACATTTGGCGATTTACCTTTTATGATCAACACCACATGTAGCGCATTTTGTCTTGGCGACTTCTTGCTTCTTGACCACACGAACTCCTTTCGCCCGTTCATTACCTAAACGAGTCATGGTCCTCGTTTATAGTTCGTGTCGTTTCGTAACACAGTATTGGCTTATCCATTCGATTGCGGAACCGGCTCTCTACCCCTACAGGCGTCGCTCTGCCTGAATGGGCTGGTCATCTTCGCAACACTACTCAATCGTGTCTTTCGCGACTCCTACAAGCCAGATGATTTTGCTAGATTCTCATTCATACCTTTGACCACCATGCGGATACACAGCTTCGAAATTGGCTGATCCACGTCTTCGCTCCGGTCGACAGTTATTTACAGATTCCGCTGACTCCTGATCGTGGCCGAGATCGCGGCTCAACTGAACATTGCATATTGCATTGAATCCCATGACGGTAGCAACATTACTTTAGGTTTAAATGGGGATCTGCGTGGCAGGGTAACCACCAAGGGCGGTGGAGATCGCCTTTGCCAAAATGCTAAATAGAAATAGTATTATCAGAAACAATCAGGCACTTAACATCAGGGGCGTACTTGTGAACAGTGAACAGCGGGTGCAGGGTATTAAGCCAGCTACAGAACAATGCCATTAGAATCGCTTGGGACCTTCGAACTAACTTACAAGTAGTTCGACACAGGCGCACAACCCTCAACCTGGTAAGTGAGAGTGGGAGTGCCATTCTCGTAAGCTGCGCAGTAACCAGTGACGTTCACGAAACCGAAGGTCTGCCACTCGTTAAGAAGTACGTTGAAGATAGACTGAGTGTCCACCACAGTGACGGTGTCAAGATCTGAGTGGTTGGATTTGAAGGCTTGTACAGATTGCGTGAGTTGCGTGTTGTACTCAGCAATATCAGTGCCCATTTGCGCTGCAGCCGTAGCACCTTGCTCGATGAAGAGGGGCGCGCGATTGGTAGGTGGGACAGTGAGGAACAAGAACGATCGAGCGCCATTTGAGTACAGATCTTCAACCTGATTTAGTAATAATGTCAATAACATATCCGAGTCGAACGCTCCGGGTACAACCTCCCTTACCTGGGAAAACAGACGGTCCATGAGAGTTCCATAGAATTCAACCTGAGTTATGTTGGTCTGGGTGCAAACCGATCAGCGACAAATACTCCCATTCCGAGTACAATGAGAATAACCCACCCAAGCGAAAGAGTTTCCCTGGATATGTACGTTTAACTATTCGAAACACACGGGATTGTGAGGAATATACGTACGACGTCATTTATCCCAATCCACACAGCGAACAGACTGTTTGTGCTTTCCCATGCAGCGCCAGCAGGCTTGGATGCCAAGTACTCGTTGAATTGAGTCACCTGATTAACCACAGAACTGCAAAAATGATTTAGACCACAACCGAATAGAAGGTCTCTACACACACAGCACAGTGGGTAGATAAGGTGGAACAAGGGCTGCATCGATTGTTGCACCACCATAAGCTAAATTGAAGGTCTGGACTTCATATATCAGTATACCAGCCAGATAAGTAGATTGTACAATCACCTTCACGGCCGTTTGGTTGTATGTACTGGCTACTACGGTGTCAGACACAGAGTAAAGCCCCCTTCTCTTGTTACTTACTCAAAAATTCGACCCAGTTCTGACCATTTGATGAAGTCTGACGATATGAAGTCAGCCCAAGAAACGGTCAAAACACAGCACAGATGCTTACATATCCTGGGTCTGGCGAGTTGATACCAGCAGAGACGTTATATCCATCGGTGGTATACGAGTCTCCAAATACAAACATGTATTCAGTCGCATTCCAGGAAAGGGCTGACGCAAAAGAGCTTGAACAGAGTAAACCAATACTGGCGACGACTAGGCTGCGCGCCACGACCATCTCCAGAGAATGCTAGAAGGTATAAAATAGGTGGTTTTAACGTACAGCCGTCATTAACTCTTATATAACCATGCTACAAAAGCCCTGGGTAAGGACTACAGTCCGTAACCCGACAATAATCCGCATTTCGGACTATATGCCATATACAAATGACACTCGACCCTGCTCGTGAGGTTCGGATAAAGGAATGACCTCTGCCGGGAGAAAACCCACTGTTTCCCCGAGCGAAGCCATATTTCCTGGGGGATAGGGAATTAATCCATTGGATGACAGCACCACTTCGTCGAATGATGCCTCAGGTGCTTGCTCACAAGATCTACGTGGATCACGCGTGAAGGCCAGCGCATAGGTCATGATGATCATTTGCCTTTATGGGTCAGTTTGTGCTATTGATACTGCATAGAAGTTACTTCAGCGAGTTTATTTCTCATGCTGTCATATAACTCCCTGGCGGTTTGATTATGCAGTTTAAGCACACATGGATTGATAGCTGGCTGTCAGGCAAGCAGGCGAATGAGCACACACCAGTAACACGATCATTCCGAGTTCTTTTGTGGCAAAGTAGGGTGCTTACAAGGGAGAATGGCAGATGGGTTCAGGTTATAGGATTGACTGTGGTGCGTGATGGTATGAGTCGTATATTCTTTCGAGCTGGTTTATTGAATGAAGGGTTATAAGTACCGATATAGTAGATAGGGGTAGCGATACCGAATAAGCGAAACGACATTCATCCGTAGCAGCGTGGTTAAGGAGCCAACAAGAACGCTTGATAAATGCATACCCGTATTGGCAAAAAACAATGCACCTCACCAAAAATACCTTCCACACGGTAATCCTATCATATAAGTATGTTCCTCGTGAACTTTACTGGCCATCTATCTCTGTCTAGATCAACGCGAGATGTCGGGGGCACTTGATCATATAGTAAGAGATGGAGATTTTACTGTGGAGGGGTAACCAGCGCCAACATGGACGATGTGAGGGCACACGGGGAGGGTCGAGGCAGTCGCGTTCTTCAAAGACGGTCGTCGGGTCGTCACTGGTTCACATGATAGAACCTTGCGGAAGTGGGACGTGGAAAATGGAGCACGGTAGGAAGTCCATTCTAGGGATACCAAGACGGGGAATTATCAATCGCCTTGTCTCCGGGTGAGAGCCAAATTATGAGCGGTTGAAATGATAGCACCGTCATCATATCTGGGATGTTGAGAGCAGGAAGAATCACTGCAAACACTGCGGCCAGTAAGCTGCTGATGAAGCATGCAGGTTGGGTGAGCTCAGTGTGTTTATCCTCTGATTGCAGGAGACTCGCCGGCGGAGCTGGCGATGCCAAATATTGTTTTATGGAATGGGAAGGGCATTAATGGCACCGTCATTGCGACATGTCCTCGCTTCTTCAAGTTGTGTTCAACTTCCAGTCACAGGTGGACTAAAATTAGCCCTCGGGCCCCAACGGATTATGCCATCCGGATTTGGCGCACCGATAACGCCGAGCTCCGTCTCGGAATCAACCGGTACTACTACTAGAGCTTGAGGTGTTGTTTGGTCGCCTGACGGCCAGCAGCTTGTCTCAACATCATTCTACACAATGTGCAGTCAAATTCCGGGAAATTCATTTAACGGAGACCAGATTGGGCAGCATTGCACCACTCATTTATGCGACTGGATCCGCACGCTCGCAATCTTTCGATGGCTCTTGAGGTTCATCGCCGCTACATCGGACGACAAGACTGTGCGACTGTGGAACACAAAAACACACCAGCAAATTGAGCATGCGCTTAAACATACAACGGGGGTCTAAGTACTGTGTCGCAGTTTCTACCAATGGAGAGCTGCTCGTCAGCGGAAATCGCGAAGAGAAGTGTTGTTGCTCTGGCCCATCGTGGACACAATTTAGGCAGCGATCCACTTGCATTCCTCAGGCAACACCCTCTTTGGACACCTCAGTAAGGTAAATTTGGGACGGAACCTACTTCGAGAGGCTCTTCATGATGCAGAGTATTCGTCATTGTTCTAGCAATTGCGCTGATCATTACTGCTCTCCAAATTGGACCATACTCCCGACGTAGGAACACAAAGTGAGCCCCAAATGACTCATGCAACGACGTGAAGATAATTAACTCATTTTCCAGATCTGCGTCAGCACACTGTCAGGGTAGAAGATGCCATTCGACGAGTCGTTCATGCTCACCTAGAAAACGCCTCACTTCGTCTATTCGACACCTTCATGGAAAGCACAGAGTACATGGAGATCTTATCTTCATCAGTGGCGCATGCGCCCCCAGATGGAGCCCGTCAATATCGAAATGGTCAAAAAGTACTTCAGCTGGGTCATGTTATCGTATAGGCACCCGTGATCGGGGTGTCGCTGGGCGTGGAGTGATAGGGCCACTAGACGGGCATTCTTGCTCGTTCGTCCCGTGGAATCGTTGTGACCTTGGGCTGCCTGACTGAGCAGACGACACGAGCAGCCTGGAAGATTTGTCGGAGCCCGAGTCCCCATCGGATGATGCGCCTAGCGGGCCTTCTGGAGAGCATGGACCAGTTGATTCAGAGTCTCGCTTGCGAGCTTCTTTCGCCTTTGACAGCTTTTTGTGCAGTCCTTGGATCACAGTGCCATCGCACGGGTAAAGGTCATGGTTACTGTTCAAGAAATGATGGATGTCAGGACGCTAGACATATTGCAACTGTATGGCATCTCCAAGGGTGGTGTTTTCGTGCCTTGACAGTACTTACCTGCATTTTAAAATGTTCCTGGGCATTTGTATTATAATTATATCGTATGGTGATTTATGACAAGAAACTAAACGGTGTGATGCTGATAAAAGGGGGTTTCCTTTTTGGTCAGATGATGGACGTGAGACTTCCTTCCGTTGTCATTACATACTTCCGCAAACCATTCCGAGTCAGCAAACAGACCTAGTCAAATATTCATGATTTCGGTTGGTCGTTTTCAACATTGGCATCGACAGTGCTAAGTGTTGCGTCTAGGCATTCTTCATATTCAATCAGAAGGGAGAGGTGCGCTTGGTTGTCTTATCATCGTCTTCTCTTTATAACGAATTCGTGGCGCTAGGTTCTCATATCAAGACTGTATCGGACGGACTTCAAGTAGGAACGTTTTCTATTCACGCCCTTACTCGTCTTATGCATTATAGGCGATCCATCGCAGACGTGTTCCGGATACAAGTCGTGTCTAACAGTGATGTGCGATCTCCAATCATAACGTTGGGCTCGACCAGTTTCTTTCACGTGCGGGTGAACAACCTCTACATTGTCTGCGTGACAAAGTGTGTCCCATACCTCTAGCTGTACTTGTCGCACTAATCATCAGCTCAGGACAAATGCAAATGCTGCCCTCGTCTTTGAATTTTGCTACCGTTTTATTAGTATCGCCAAGTCATATTTTGGAAAAGTGGACGAGGAATCCGTCAAGAACAACTTCGTGCTGATATACGAATTAATTGATGGTAAGATGGCTTTATATATCTGGATGGCGCTTCTTCTATGACGCTCCACAGAAATCAGTGACTACGGATACCCTCAGAACAGCGAGATCGACACCCTCAAATCCTATATCACGACAGAAAGCGTAATATCTTCGGCTATAGCAGCTGTTTGCATTTTCCCTTACTGGTCGATCGACATTCTGCTGATGGGACTTTAGGAGGAGTCATCGAAAATCACTACACAAGCCACAGGAGCGACAAGTTGGCGACGTGGCGATGTGAAATACAAGAAGAATGAGGCATTTGTCGACGTGGTGGAGACTGTCAATCTAAGCATGAGTGCAAAAGGTGATGATGACTTAGACTTCCTCTTGTGCATCGTGTGTAATGTTCGTGATTGTTCTCTAGGGACTGTCCTCCGTGCCGATGTGGATGGGCATATTCAAATGCGCGCGTATCTGTCTGGGACGCCAGAATGCAAATTCGGTCTCAACGACAAGCTTGTAATTGACAAGAATAGCCAAGGCGGGGCAAGCGACGCGGTAGAGCTGGATGACTGTCGCTTCCACCAGTGTGTCCGGCTCAATGAATTCGACACAAGCCGCACGATCAGCTTTATTCCTCCTGATGGCGAATTTGAACTGATGAGGCGAGTCACTTTTATCTTTCTCAGTTCCACAACAAACCACTGAAATCAAACGTTATGCAGGTACCGCTCGACGTCAAATGTCAAATTGCCTTTGCGAGTGATCCCTACGGTAAATGAGATTGGAACGACGCAAGTGTCGTACAACATCGCCGTGAAAGCCAATTTTGGGACCAAGTTGTCCGCCACCAACGTGGTTTTACGGATACCGACACCATTGAACACGACCGGCGTGGACTGCAAAGTTGCAAATGGTAAGGCTAAATATGTACCTGCCGAAAATGTGGTCGTATGGAAGTATGTCACCTGGTCCACTTGGGATGACTGCCGCTTATATTGCGTCCAGGATTCCGCGGATTCAAGGTGGACAGGAGTGCACCTTCAGCGCGACTGCTAGTCTTACTAGCACTACCACTCGGCAAGTTTGGGCTCGACCACCTATTGATGTTGACTTTGAAGTTTTGATGCTCACCGCATCTGGTCTGATTGTCCGGTTTCTCAAAGTTTTTGAGAAAAGCAATTATCACAGCATCAAGTGGGTACGCTATCTCACCAAAGCAAGTGGGAGTTATCAGATTCGGGTATGTGGTTAAACCAACCGACTCGTGACAGTTCGCGTGCTGATAACTGGCAAAGTTTTGATGCGATCAGTATCCCATACATTTGTTGACTTATATACTACATCCTTGGACAATCGTGTTAATCACATACCAACTGATGGACTTTGTATCCTTCTGAAATTTTAACTACATGTTGTCGGGACTTGTGTTTGGAGTACCAATCTTAGTAACAACTATACACACTGGCTGGCAGGCCCCGACTCGGACAGCCGCGCTCGCCTCAGCTCCGTTCCTCAGTTTCAACAACATCGCTCCGCTTTCATGTTCTGGAGGTAATTGCTTTCCCTTTCCACATATTGTGGTTTTTAAATACAGTGTGAACTCTATTCTTGAGTAGATTCGGATTTCACAACACATCCTCCATCGACAGTCTATTGGACAAAGATGATGTTTCATTAGAGGCAATTCTAGACGAAGACGATTTACTACAGGAATGTAAGTCGCAGAACACGCGGCTCATCGACTACTTTCAGCGTGTAGACGTCCTGAAAAGACTTCTGGGGTATGTGACTGGTCAGATTGCAGGCGAAGAGGACCGAGGACGGTTCAAGTAAGCCTTATCTCCGGTACCTCTGCCTCATGGGCATCTCCACTGATCAATTCTAGATATCCATATGTCGCTACCGAAGTTCTTTGCAGTGAAATATGGTCGATAGTGGAAACCTGCGTCAATTCGTCAGACCAGCTGCTGACACCGTTCTGGGAAACAGTTCTCGACAAATCTCCGGAAGAGATGAAGACAGAGATGGTCATGGCCTCTCACTTTGCCAAGATTAATGCTGTCTTCCTCACTAAGAAGCCGGCGGAGGTGAATGCCTATCTTTTCACCCCCGTCCTCTGACGAACCCAGAGCTATGTGCTCAGATGCTTGCCTTCATCCAATCCCAACCATCTGTCGTGGAGCGCCTCTTGCGACACGTCGAGACGCCATCCGTAGTTGACCTTCTTGTCCGCATTATCCAGCTGGACGAAGTCCCGGGTGGTGCAGGGGTTCTTGAAGTATGCTCTTATATGCAGCGTTCTGCGTGGCAGCTTACCCAGTATCGCACTTCAGTGGCTTTCGTCGGAGAACCTCATGGGCAGATTGATTGAGCTGCTTTCCCCGGCGCACACCAGCGACATGCACACAGTGGTTTCAGAACTGATCAAGGGGATACTTTCCATGGCTACTGCGTCACCTGCGCCAGGACTTACGGATGGTCTGCAGAATGGAGTTGCTTCAAATCTCTTTTCCAGGGAGCTGGCGCGGCCCGAGAGCGTTTCAGCATTAACTGATTACATATTAGGCGATTTCAGTCCATTAGCCGAAGCCGAAGTCCAGCAAGTCATCGTTGATGATGATTCTACTGATCATTGTAGTTCCTCCACCCCAGGGCTCCCAAATCTTGACTCCTCTGTCTCTTCTGTTGTCCACTCGATATCTGTGGTCATCGAACTTATTCGGAAAAATAACTCAGATTATTTCGAACCGTACCTCTTCCATACCCTGCGAAATCGGCTGATTCATATCCAACAACAGCTGGCAGGGGCTGAAAACGGGCGCGCGAAGCTCGAGGAGTCCATGAAGGAGATGTCGGACAGAATGGGTGTGGTTTACCTGGGCCCCTTACTGGAGATTATGGGCGAACGACTCACGACCTTCGAGAAATATCTTCGTCGACCACGATCTTTGGTGAGTCTGTCGGTTATCACTCGAACTCTCGATATAACCTTCCCCCCTCAGCAAGGTCCCATACCCACAACTGTAGGTGTGATCACGCCTCTCACCTTCGAACGATTTCGGATATGCGAGTTGTATGCTGAACTCCTGCATTGCTCCAACATGGCTATATTAAATCGTCCCGGGGAGTATAGCGATCTTTATGACAAGCAAGGTCGATTACAAGGCGGGCTATCGTCTCTGGAGCATCTTGCTCGTGTAATTGCCATCGGTTCCGGAGATGAAAGAGACCAGGACGCAATGGACGACAACCATGACGACGTTGAGCCCGCATTGGAGTTACCAGTCACAACCCAATCACGAGGCTCTTCGCTATTAGATTCGGATGAAGACATGAGCGATGATGAACCCGGCAGCTCGGATGACGATGTTCTGGAGGAGATCATGATGGATGACCCTCCAAAACTGCAACATTCACCATCGGAAGATCTTCCGCCACAGGAATCTCCAATAATCGACCCTTCCTCGCTTAATGCAGCGTCGTTGGCTCCACCTGCCGAGATTGCGGCTCAAGGTACTGCAAAACGGACTTCCAGCACGTCTAGTAGTAGTGATAGCTCGACTGCAAAATCTCCCTCCGTACATTCGCGCAGAAGCTCCAAGCGGATGGTTAGCACTGATACAGTGCCAGGTCTCTCAATAGGGGAGATAACGAAAATGCGCTTCTTGGAGGCCAATGTTTTAGGGACCTTATTGGTGAGCTGCCAGTTTTCCGTACTGCTGCTGTACTTATACGTTTGACTAGGACCTCTTCTTCGAATTCCCTTGGAATAACTTTTTGCACAATACGGTCTATGATTTCATCCATCAAATTCTCACAGGTAGGACTGATGGAGGACTGAATAAAGAATTGTCGATCTCTCTCTTCCGGGATGCACATATCATGCAACGTATCATCGACGGTCAGAAGCGAAATGATGCAGAAAGGTATCACGCTTCATCTCATCGTTGCATGATCTCAATTATACTCCTCCAGCTCAAAGGCGAAGGGTGTCCGACTTGGGTACATGGGCCATCTGACGCAGGTGGCAGAGGACGTTATTGGAGCTCTTGAACATTATCCACCCAACCTCCGTTTAATCATTGAGCAGTATGCACCTCAGCCTGCTTGGCAGGAGTACGTGACGGGTCGCTTCAATGAGACCAAGAAACGGGATAGCAGCCTTCTTGGTGGAGGGAGGCCTGTCGTTACCTCAAATTCACGTGCTGGTGGTAGATGGACGGTTGACGAAGAAGACAGAGGCTCATCAATGAATGCAGCTGCGACCACAGGTCCTGGAACTACTGGTGAATTCAGGAGATCCGTGACCACAAGACCATCAAGAGCAACAAGTGCTGACTTCGGTCCTGCGCCGATGGACGACGACGAAGACGACCATGGCGTTGGACCTCCACAAGTATGTCTTGCTTCATCCAGAAACTGAAGATTGGCTCATTTTTGTCCAGTTTGCTCGCTACTTGGCTCAAGAGATGCACTCAAGGGAGCAGTTCAACTCATCATCTGATGCTTCGGATGAAGACGATGATGATGATGGTGGATGGTTGGCTCAATCGTCATTTGATTTAGGCAGACCACCCCTTCGGAGAAATACTGGAAATCGACAAGAAGTTTCTTCAAGTGGTTTTGACGTAGGTACATCCCCACTGTATCATTTCCCTGAAGTAATTCGCCCCAGGATGCATTCAATCCTGGCCCCAGTGGTGCTTTGAGGGAGGCGCTTGCTGATGATCCTTTCGGCGTAAAATATGATGACGTGAATAATTCTACTTCCCTCTCGTTGAGCTCTTTTGACAGACTCATTCCAGGACGACGGTTTCGGCCCATTTTCCGATGCGGCGGCAACCTCCCCAGATCACTTCAATTTTTCCTCGTCTTTCTCATCTGATGAATCTTTTGACTTTGGAGATTTCCAGAGCTCAGACGACAGCATCCATGACGGTGAGCTCACCCCGACTGCTGGGAGCTGGACTTTGGCAAGCGGTTCAGAATCAGAGGGGGACGAGTTCGGCAACCCTGGAAAGGGTTCGAATGGAATGCACCATATATCGTTGGATGATTTGAACGGACGATTGGAGGAGCCTGATAAAAGTAAGGACTGGAGTTAAACAACGGTGTGTTGATAGTGTGTATTGTCCGCATTATCTTAGATGATGCTCTACTGTTCATGTGTACATATCGCAGCACATATTTCTTCTATTCATTGTCTTGTGTGATGTATGTCAAAGGCTATTTGGCGTGAACTGATATCCTCCACCCCTTGACTCTGCTGTGAATTTCAGCTCGGCGAGCACTTTCCCGGTTGGATCAGCAAGAGCGCATTCAACACTATCACCTGGATTGACAGGGCCAACACCAGAAGGGGTTCCAGTGAGTATGAGATCACCCTCCTGTGCATTTGGGTGAATACATCAGGACTGCGGACACGATTATTCTGACGTACCTCCAAGGTCACGATGGAAGAGATGTGTTCAATAAGTCGTGGGATACGGAAAATCATATCCCCAGTCGTGCCATTCTGCTTAATCTCACCATTAATCTAGCACACAAAGAATCGCGTCAAAACATGTTCCCGCTCGATAATTAAGACAAACCTTCAGGGAGAGCATGAGGTCATGAGCATCCGAAACGGACGACTTGGGGATAAAAGACCTGATCACAGGTTCAAGACACATCGAGATAACGTGTTTTCATGACACACCCAATGGGAGTGAATGTATCGAAGCCCTTCACAGCAGACCAAGGCAGACCCTTCTTCTTCACCTCATCCTGCATGTTTCGTGCGGTCATGTCGACAGCCAAAGCTATGTATCCTAATCAGCATTCAGAACAATTCGCAAAACATTTGCTCACCGTAGCCCGCAATGTGGGACTCAGCTGCATCCTGGGAAATATCCCGACCACCTTTCCCGATTACGAGGCCAAGTTCAACTGCTCTGGAATTCATAGTACTTTTAGAAGAGCATAATATCGATGCGGACCTTCATGGTGTGCTACAACACCGCGTGGAATTTCAACCTTTCCCCCAGTAGGGAGGTAGCTCGTCGTGGGCTTGAGAAAGTAGAAAGGCTCTTTCGTCCTGGCGTTGTTGAGCTCTTTAATGTGCTCAGAGTAGTTTCTGCCAATGGCAATGATCTTGGTTCAAAGTCAGCATACATTAGCCGCGTAGCGAAGTTTTAATTTCACCTTTTTTCCCTGCCTCACGAACTGAGCTGCTGCAGACATGAGTATTGATGAGCACAAGCTGAGCACACTGAGACGGAACGCCGCGTGAAGGTTAAGTAGTGGTCACGTGAGATACTTATCAATATGCTCGTGGCGGACCGCGGTACCCGAGTCCGACTGGCTAGATATCAGCTGTCAACTTGTCCAGCAGCTGGATGCTCTCCATTGTGTTCCAAATCTTCGAATTCTTCCTTTTGAACCCCCTCGGAATGCGCTGGGGGAGGTCAAAAAATGATTTTCATGTCACGCAGGGTCAAGCAGCCCATTAGGGAAGCTTGGTCTATCGAGCGGCTCAATCAATCTTGGCATGTCTCTTGAATGATCCATGGTGCAATCATACTTATTCTTCAGCACTCAATTCATATCTTGCGCTCTGTGATCTGCATCATTTTGCTATCGAGCAAACTTCGGACACTCTGTCTTACCTTGTCACCTTTATGGCGGCTCATATCAACCACGCTCAGTGGATAATCATATTTCGGAGATCTGCAGCCTCTTGAGGAATATTTCCCTAATGTTCGAGCTATTTTGCGTTTCCGTCTGGCAGCAAAGACTTTCCAGGGAGCAAAACGACGATATAGAATTCCTGCCATCCGTCGCAAACTCCCACTCACTCGAACAGACCTTGGTCGAGTCTATGATCAACTCTCGCCTAATGCTTCCCATGACGGCAAACTTTTCCTTGCACAACCTCTTAACGGCTTCCATGGCCTGTTTCGTTTAGGCGAATTAGTCTGGTCTGATAGCACCTGTCTTCGGGTGCGAAACAAATTACCTCTTCGCACTTCTGTTCGGTCTGACAAGATAAGATGGTCACTCCTTTGTTCTACCCACTCACGAGGTTGATCCCTAGTTCGAGGATTCCTCAATTGTTATCCACCAATCTCAGATTCATCCAAATCCACATTGCCTTTCTGAACTATCTCGAATCTCGCGATAGTTTGTTTCCTTTCCATTCTACTAGGTTATGGTTGTGTTCGGACGGTCCGGTCCCCACGCGATCATGGTTCATGGGCAAAATGCGCGTTTTCTTCCCCTCCTCCATTGCCGGGCATTCAATGAGGGCTGGGGGTGCGATGTCACTTGCTGCTGCTGGAGTTCCTGCAGCGCAGATCCAAGCCATGGGTCGATGGTCTTCAGATTCCCTCAGAGTCTACATAGGCAAAAACTTCATACTCTCATATTTAATGGTAGGGCCGCACTGGATGGTTGTGATTCGTTCACGTCCGTCTCTTCCTAAGTATAGTCTTTTGATATTTTTATTGTGCTTATGTGTCGTGACACCACATATATTTGTAACTTGTATCTTGCTTTCTTAATCTATTCTTTCTCCTTCAACTCTCCACCCTCCATCCCTCCCATAAAAACACATTTACAGTGTTTTTTGCACGCGTATTCACGCATCCCTAGTACTACAAGTCTCTCCCGAGTCTTTCTGGTTGTGTGTATTTTGGTTTTTTTCTCGCAATTTTCATTGGACCTCCAGTTCGCCGCGGGGTCTTCTGACTTCTCTCGCTGGCTAATCCCGCTCTTGCGAGGCTGAGTGAGAGCGATTAGATCACATGAATTTGTTGTCCTTTGACAGATTGACAAGGTCATGTATTGATCGGGCTTGGTCGGATTTTCCCGATTGAGGTCTCGGCCGACTATTAGGTGCGAGTCGAGTCACTCTTAGCACTCCAAGACTTGCAAAAATTGTTGTTTCAAAGCAACGCTTTCTCAAAACCTCTCTTGTTCTCGTCGCTGTACTCAACGACGATCATGTCGTTCCCTGTGACATTTCGTGTATGCAATGCACCAAAATCTACTGCAAAGGTCTCATTTATCCGCCCCCGCTCAACTGTCGCATCGTCTTCGATTGTCGACGCAAAGGCTAGGATAAGAGATCATGCTAGAAACATCAGTAGATCATCAATTCGAGATGCTACTGCGGTTCCTGCTGCGTGCGTGTTATTCATGTGTCTATTCATATCTTAAGCCATCTGATAATATCCACTCGCAGTCGACCTTCCCCAGCTCCTGGATTCCAGCAGCTGCCACAGAAAAATAATCTTCCATTTGACTTGGAGTTGCATACCAACACACCTCTGGATCATTCCTTTGTTGGCATGTCAGGTGGTCAGATTTTTCACGAGATGATGCTTCGGCACGGGGTGAAGCATGTTTTTGGTTATCCCGGCGGGGCTATTCTTCCCGTGTTCGATGCCATTCACAACTCTAAACATTTCCACTTCGTTCTTCCTCGTCATGAGCAGGGCGCTGGGCATATGGCAGAAGGTTATGCTCGCGTATCAGGAAAGCCTGGTGTCGTCCTAGTGACTTCTGGTCCAGGCGCGACCAACGTCGTTACAGCAATGCAAGACGCGCTTTCTGATGGTGTTCCTCTCGTTGTTTTCTGCGGCCAGGTAGCAACCTCGGCTATCGGGTCTGATGCATTCCAAGAAGCCGACGTTATCGGTATTTCACGTAGCTGCACCAAGTGGAACGTGATGGTCAAGGACATAGCAGAACTGCCAAGACGCATCAACGAAGCATTCAAAATTGCAACTTCTGGTCGTCCTGGACCTGTGTTGGTCGATTTACCCAAGGATGTCACTGCTGGCATTCTTCGCACACCTTTGCCATACAAAGCGACTACTCCAGGCTCGCACACCCTACCTGCGAATCCTATGCAGCCTATCTCTTCTCTAATCGACATGGCGTTGATCCAGCAAGCTGCCAACCTCATCAACCAATCGCAACGACCTATCATTTACGCCGGCAATGGTGTCCTCTCATCACCTTTGGGTCCAAAGTTACTTGCACAATTGGCTAAGGAGGGTAACATTCCTGTAACAACCACTCTGCAAGGCCTCGGTGCCTATGACGAGACAGATGAGAGAAGTCTGCACATGCTTGGCATGCACGGATCTGCATACGCAAATTTGGCAATGCAACAGGCGGATGTTATCATTGCCCTGGGTGCACGATTTGATGACCGTGTCACGGGCAAGGTTGATACTTTCGCACCTGCTGCCCGAGCTGCTGCCTCGCAGGGCCGCGGAGGTATCATCCACTTTGAGATTCAGCCGAAGAACATCAACAAAGTCGTCAATGCTTCCATCCCTGTCCTCGGCGACGTCGTTTCCAACATGGCTGCACTCGTCCCCTTGATCCGATCGTCACCACGTACACGGTGGTTCGGCGACATCCAAGAGTGGAAGCAGAAGTACCCCTTCACATACGTCCCTTCAAAATCTGGTGCACGATGCAAGCCACAGGAGGTTATCGAGGAGTTGGACCGGCAGACGGCCCACAAGAAGGACGATGTTATCATAACTACTGGTGTTGGTCAACATCAAATGTGGGCGGCCCAACACTTCCGATGGAAGACGCCTCGGTCAATGGTTACTTCCGGTGGTCTTGGAGTGAGCTATCGCCTTTTTCCTCCACGAGATGTCGGACGTTGACAATTTTGCAGACCATGGGTTTTGGCCTTCCTGCTGCCGTTGGTGCTAAAGTGGCCGCGCCTAACAAAATTGTTGTTGACATCGATGGTGACGCATCATTCAGCATGACTGCTATGGAGCTCGCCACCGCCTCGCAGTACGATATCGGTGTCAAAGTCCTCATCCTTAACAACGAATTCCAGGGTATGGTCTTGCAATGGCAAGGTTGGTCGATCCCACCTTCAATATATGGATAGTTCTCATGAGAAATCTAGATCTATTCTATGATTCCAGGTACTCGCACACTCGGATGACAAACCCCGACTTCGTCATGCTTGCTAAAGCTATGTATGTACACGCGATTCGATGCGAATCTGCGGCAGACCTTCCTGCAAAGATGAAGGAGTTCCTGGAATACGACGGCTCGAAACCCGTTTTGCTGGAGTGCAAGGTCGAAACTGACGAGCACGTGTACCCGATGGTGCGTTTAGAGAGGCCAGTCTATCTTTGAGTCGGGTAAACTAACTGTTGCGACCAGGTTCCCGCCGGGAAGGCGTTGCATGAACAGGTCCTCCACCCTATTCTGAGGCCAAAAGAAAAATCCGACGCATGATCTATTTTTCATTATTCTCGATCTATATGCATATTAAACCAACATTCACTCTTCGCGCTCATCCGATTTACAACATACCGTTTTCACTGTGTACTAACATTCATGGGCTCGACCATCTTTTATTGACACGAACCACATTTATCTACGGCGTCCCTGGGGTCGCAAAAGGGATGTTGATTCCCATAGGCATATTGGGTATTCTGCTGGCTACTCCAAATAACAGAACAGAAATAGTATCACTGCGTCCAAGAATAGCGTTTGCGCTGTCATTAGCTTCGCCCGACGAGATCGAATATGATCCTACTATCAGCCAGGTTCATCAGCACTGCGCAACTGTTGGATACAAGATCGGGATATCTATTCATAAGCAGTGCATGGAGGTGTCCGGTGATCCAATTTTGTATGCGATCAGTGTGGACATGGGCGTAGTGGGGCTCGGGACGTCGAAGATACGACTGCTTGGCAAAATTAGTGTCCTGTGTTAGTAGTGCTGTGCATCCGATGGTCAGGGCAGACCAAGTGAAGAGGATCAAAGTTCAAAATAGCAGATCGTTCTTCCCAAGAAAGCCCTACCCAAGGCTAGTCGCGATGCGGCCAGAGTCAACCAACAGAGTGCGATAGAGCCTATCACAGGCTAGCCAAGGCCGTGTTTGCCGCGCCGTTATCCCCTGTCCTTATTGATTCATTGACAAGTCTAAGCCCAGATCCATCAAAGCGTAATTGGTTTAAACGTGATGACGAGTCTTGCATACTTGGTAGAGTTTACTCAAGCCAAGGATCCTAATGACGCTGTGCGATGATCAAGGCACAGTATGTATTCAGTCGAGAAAGTGTTTACGCACCCCTAAGTGTGACGTGATAGAGAGGGTTGATGGGAACACCGGTCCAGTGTATAGGCACAAACCCGTCGCGTCGCAAACTCAGACGATGAACAGGCAGAAACCTCATGCAGCAGATGAGTAAATAATACGAATAGACGCATTGCGCTGTTGGAATGCTTTCAGGGAGCTGGAGCTAGATCGAATGAAAATGGACACAGCTCACTAGTTCAACCGATGATATCCGACTGAAACGCTTACCTGTAGAAAAAGCCTTAAATCACGCCACTGTGGGTCCATTGGACGTGAGCTATGGAGCTGTGGGAAATGAATAGTGAATCATGTTGCCCCTCAGACCGTGGGCGATAAGACCGCAGCGAGCAAGAAAGTTTGATTGATATTCGGTACGCTAGAGATGGATTCATTAGTCTCTCTTGGTCACGGTCAACCTTACAGCACAGCGGTAGGTAATCTCCACTCACTGTTGAATCTCCTGATGGGGATACGATGCTTGAGCATGCCTGATCCCTTCAGGGAAACATTGCGCATGCAAACCATGATGTATATCCTGAGGCACAAACCCTCTTTTGCGAAGTAATAGAATGCATGTCACGCAAGAGGGAGGGCCCTCGGAGCATCGTTCCGAATCAACCTCGAAAACACAAGCGCAAGCGCCAAAACGCTAATTTGTATGTCAATATATGGCATTATTCACCAAACCTTGAGCAACTGATGTTGAACCTACACGACACGCAGATGCGAGTCTGATGTTTTACGTTTTCCCATGACAGATTGCCTCGCCTTGAATGATGCCCGTGAATGTGCTTGTCTAGAAGCGGGAGGCATAGCTAGTAGACGCTGGATCGACTCCCGCGAGTAGCTTTGCTCCATGATCTTCCTAGTGCCTCGAGTTGAGAATTGCGGCATGACAATGCGAGCGGGATTAGAAGCGGGCCTTTTGACGTAAGTAAACGTACGCGATGCGGACCGAGCGGTGTTATTGGAAGATCAAGGACAAACTTGTTGTCCCCGGAAGGAGCATGATGATTGTCGACATTTGTGAGACCTCTGAAACTTTCTCAACGTTTTCGAACTCGAAGATAAAAGAGCGGCGTTACGCCACATTCTGATTGGTGGCGATATGAATGAGCCCTAGTATGTTAAGAACGAAACCAGAAAACAAGCATATCACGGGTAAATCTAGTGGGTTTGATCAGTTCATAGATCATCGCTGATTAGGACATTAATACGTACGATGGACTCCCACTGCATGCACAGATGCAAGAAAATGTGTTCAATCAATCATAGACGTCTCAACACACAACCCATCAACACACCAGTACTGCGATGCAGTATATCAACTAGAGCTGTTTACATGCCGCCACTTTCTTATCACCGTCAGGGATTCAAAGGGGTTCCGGATGACTCAGCGCAAGCATTAATGCCATAGGGATTTGATCTGCATGCCGGAATGCAAGCCTGAGACTCGGAGCGCGTAAGGTGAGCACGCAAATGAATGTGGATATCAAATAAGAATGCCGGCCTTGGATTGATACGCTGCTGGAGGATCCACGGATTCAAGGGTATCCCCGGGGAAATCGACTAGGCGAATCACTGCCTGGCGTGCAGGTGTATTCATACGGCGGCCTCGGATAGGAGTACCACGCATAGTCGTCGTACCGATGGAGGGCATCGTCTGGCACCATCGCCTGGGACATGATGGCGGAAATCATGAAATGGTGAGTGAAATTGACAAATAGGACTCAGATATGACTTCAGGTAGACACACATAGTAGGGCAATACCACGATCTTCGGAAGCACTCCATCCCTATACAAATACAATCGCAACGCGGCGTTGTGCTGCTACCCCATCCACTCTCGGAACTTTCGTCGACCGCGAATAATCCACAGCGGCACCGTCCAGCTTGAAGATTACGAGAATCAGACGAGAGAGGTGGATCACAAGTCGAGGCGCGCAGTAATGTCCAATATTTCACGCTTTGTCTTTCATTGTGAGGGTTCAAAATGACACGAAAATGAGATTATCACAAGGAGATCGCCGGACGATATGAATAAAACGTGTATCGATGTCTTCTAACACACGACAAGCGTTCAGTATGGAGCTTCATTATGGGTCGACGGTCCTTATTGGTAATCCATCTGGGAGCGTGAGGATCCATCGTGCTGAGAGAAAGATAATGCGCGGAGGTTCGAAGATGAGATTATCGGTGTGAGATCAGTAATTGCACATTGGTGAGGAATGTGCGTGTTGAGTTGACAAAGGCGTTCTGATTACCAACGGAGGTCGTGTGTTTGTAATTGTCAGGATTCTATCGATCGCCTAGATAATCGCCGTCATCCAACGATAACTGCGCACAATAATGGCTCACCAGTAGCAAAACTAGATGACCTCGGGGTAAAACCAATCGATCAACCCGACCGTTACAGTGCAACTACCGGTAGCTTGAGGCACAGATCGGTAGCAACGACGTAGATCGTCGCTGATCAAGCGGGACCTCGATGTAATCACACTAGGTGAATCCGCGAAGGACGTTGAATCCGTTATCGATTTCGCTTGTTACCGTGAGCCACGAGACGAAGACGGCGACTAGATGTGGTAATTGATGACCGGGAGACTTTGTTTTGAATCGTACTTCAGGGGCTTCGTGCTCCATTCGGAGAGCCTCTAGGGGGAGTTGATCACGCAAATAGAAATCTGGAAAGCGGTAAGCGGTAAGCGGATAGGATGGGGAAAACAAAGAAGCGGGTGTGGAACATATTAATGCTCAGGTTCGAGATGAGCCGAGGGGTAAAGGGGTGTCCTCAAACATCCGTGTAAGTCTCGGTCGGCCTTTAAGAACCACGCGAAGGTCACAGGCGATTCCAACCGGATGTGTGGGCGTAGTTACTGGCAGCTGATCATGGTTCGAGACTCCGAAGGCCAGGGAGATAAGATAGCCAAAATCAGTTACTCAATGCATCCTGATTATACATGATCAAGATAATAATCAAGCTCACGATACATAATGGCCGGTTCCTGACGAAGGAAAGAGATGAAAGCGCCATATACGTGGTATCAAAGCATCGATACAACATCGTGCCATGCATACAGCATGCATACTGCCAGTATACGCGCCAAGATCATATCGATGGCAGGACAAAGGCCATCCTGTGATGCTGTATGGGATTGGCCAGGGCGGCTGTGCACCAATCCTGTTTGACACAATCAAACAACCGCCAGCCAATGATAAGCGCTCCCTCCAAGGCCAAAAGGGATTAAAACAAAGGCACATATTTAATACGACACGGCATGGCGTGATCAAAACGAGGGAAATTCGTGACTGCAACGAGGGAATGGTCTCAGTGGCACTACAAGCTGTACACGTATGGGTTTGCAGGGATTTTTCTACACAGAAGTAACCAGGGCAATGTCTTGCATTCCATGGGTATGGGTAGTTACTGGCTGGTTTGAAGTTATCTGGATTGGGTCCATGTTCCGTGGAGGCCCTCTGCCCTCCACGCACACCATTGGGAGAAAAAGGGAACGACTCGCTGGTAGATGTACATGCGTGCGGATAAATTTACCACGCGAGCTCAATCGAGGGCCTACGAAAACTCCCGTGAGGGGAGAATGGTGATATTTCTGGTGAAAGGACTGTCTATCCGAGGCCGATGCAGTGTATGCGGCCTTTGACGCCCATTTTAGCTCTTTTTGTGATATGAAGATAGCTAGAGAAAGCTCCGGTCAACCAAGAACAGAAGACATACCAAATAGGCGAGTTTGGGATGTGGTTGGATGTAATTTGTCACAGAAAGATGGCAGCTGGCTGACACGAGGGCGGCATGGTGTGGCAGCTCGCCAATATGGCTCAATGGGTCACAAAGCAATCTGTCGAACACATGCATAACGTGCTATAATGGGGGTCTACTGCGACGGCGGTTTGGTCCTGCGAAACTGGGCGGGAATCACTGTTATATGAACTACAACCACTGGATTATAGTTAGGATACGCCGATATTAGAGCGCACGCATAAAGACTGTGTGGCCTAGAGGAGTCTCGTGGCGTGAATCCACGGTCCGATCCCTTTGTGGAAGCTCGAGGCCAGATGTTTGAAAGAATCATTATAATATATTGATGAAACTGTCTCAGATCGTCTCGGGTAGGATGATGATATAGATTA